ACACACACGCACGTGCCTTCGCCCGAGGACGAAGGGCTGGTGGTGGTGGTGGCCGCGACGCGGGCTCGCTCGTGCCCCGCCGATTCCGTTTCGATATCCTTCGACGTGTCGCGCCGAGACCGAGTCCCTTTTCTTCCTCCTTCTATTTCTACTCCCTTATTTTTATTACTCTCGCGGCACGCGCGATCGCTGCCGCGATTCCCTTCCTTACGCGTTATATCTCCTTTTTACCCCCTCTTCCGTCTTCTCCTCCTGCTTCCCTTTCTCCCCAAGCATATTCGTCGTCTAGGCACAAATCACTTTCGCAACATTTCGGTTAATCTAGCGACCGGTCGATCGTAGTGCGCGCGCCTTGCACGCGTGTGTCATCGTCCTCTCTCTCGCAAACGCGCGGTGTCTCCTCCCGTAGGCTCGCTCGGCGGCAAGATCGGCCGAGGATCCGGGTCGTTCCGCCTCGTCGTCGTCGTCGCTCCGACACTCTCTCGACACCCTCCCCGGGCTGAGCATCCCTCCGTACGAAACAGCCCGGTCGTCGTCTCAAGCTCGTCAGGCTCGATCGGGGTAGCCGGCGCGCGGTTCACGGAGACATGGCGCGCGTGTCACTTTGACCCCCCGCCGACGAGCCAGCGTCCTACGTTTAGATTTCATCAGGCGAGCCCTCTTCACCCCCCCGACGACCTTCACCCCGATCGATCCCCGGCGAACTCTTGACCGACAGAGGGAGACTGACCAACGAAGGACGCTCCTTTTCTCGTCGGCCGCGCCGGTCAAAGGTCAACTGTCGCGATGGAGCTTCGCTCGACGAGCGGATCGGTGCCGTCGGTATCGTCGAACGAGACGCGTCCCGATGTCCGGCTTCCGCTTGCCCGGTCTCAGGCACCTCCTCCCCCGAGGCCGTTCTCGCATTCTTGTCACTGCTCGTTGCACTGGATGTCGCTCGTCCTCTCGAAGCTGTCGTCCGCGCTCCAGCCGAGGCTGGTCGCGCGGCGCAGACTGTTCCGCAGGAAGGTCGCGCACGCCTTGCTGCTTTCGGTGATGATCTCGTACAGCTGGTTCTCCAGGCTGAGGCTGCTGGTGGTGAGCAGCAGCGGCAGCGGTATCGGCGCGTTCATGATCACTAGGTTACCGATATTAAGAGGAGCTGTTTCCCATTGTCAGACACCGCTGTTCGGAAAGCGTGGCGGGGGAAGCGGGGGCGGTGGTCTCTCCGGCTGAGCGGGAGCGACGGAAGAGCGCTCGGATCCAGCTGCAAACACAACTGTGGGGTGCACGTTAGTCTCGACGCGTTCCTCTCGGGACGCGTGCTCACGTGTCAACGTCTTATTACTCGTCAAATTCTACTTCCGGTAGGCATGTCGCGCTAAACAGGTACGTGTGTGTGTATGTGTGTGTCCGGGTATGTGTTTGCGTGTGCATACTCTCGAAAGTGCAATCAGTGTATTGCCACTGAGAAGCAGTCAATAGTCATTTGTAACTGTTATTATAAGTATAGCAAATCAGTAAATTTTCGCAAAGTCTGTTCCACATAGCAACGACTGCTTTCATCGGGGAAATCTAACTGCGGGAACAGTGATAAAGATATTGTTTATTAGAGAAGAAGATGGTGTCACGGCTCCTGTTAATATCTCCATTATTAGGCAGCGAATTCTTGTCGTTATTGGATATTATTGGACATATGGGATAATTTATTTTGCAGTCCGTCATAATGGCGTTAGTATGGCAATTTTTTAAATTTATTTTAGTTGGAAGCCACATTACTATCCCGGTTTCTCTGCAACCCATTATACAGCGTCGTCATATTTTTAGAAATAACGTCTTAAATAATAAATATTTCGTAATTTTGCGTCTGGAATCAATGAAACAACACTTTGACGAATGTAATCGTTCAGATCTCAATTTAAAATAACGACTGTTGATGATGTTATCGTACAAATGCGGAGCCATAATACTGCCTTTCCTTCTACTTTTTATTATTTTAACTACATTTTTAAGACGTCTGCGATTTTACCTGAAGTATTGTTTATTTATGTTTAATTCATTTAGTTTATATCGTATTTGGAAAAACACCCTTATCCCGATGTGATTCGAACTCGAAATCTCTGGCTGAGTCTGTCTACCATATGACGTATAGTTTCCGCTACATGATGCATATAGCAATACGTAATAGCGATTTGTAGTGAATCTTTCGCTGGTAGAAATCAGTGAAGTATAAGACAGAGTGAGACAAAAGAACCGAATGGGACAAAAGAACTGAATGGAAGTGTCTCCGCGAAAAATTAATGAATACTCACTAATTATCAGTGCAGCACTGGTTTTACCGATTCAACCAGTGACGTTTTCACTGATTCGACTTAAGAGAGTACGTATGTATGTATATATATGCATATATCGTATCTCGTACAAGACGGCAAGCAAGCTTTTCTACTGCTGTCTCACGGGCGAGGAGGAAGAATACCGAGAGAGCGGGTCGTCGGCTTGGCCGTCGTCTCGGTCGGATTAACTCGGCGTGGCGGGCTCGAGAGCGATCACTCCCGCGATAATCCCCCGTCTCTTTTGTCCCCCCGGAAATACAGAGTGCAGCTAGCTAGAGACGGGGCGGGGGCGTCGCGCCTCGGCGATTATTATTCTCGAAACGAAGACGTTAATTACGGGCGCAGCGCGCGATACAAAGGGGAGCGCCTTCTTTGTAACCATTACTCTCGACGGCCTCTCCTCGAGCTAATCCCATGCAATTTCAAGCGCATCTGCGGAAACTGGCCAGAAAGAAGGTGAATCGCGCTCGAAGGGTCGGGGGGTCATCTCACTCGTGTGAGCCTCGAAGTACGGATGCGTCGGTGTCGGGTGTGCGTCGTCGGCCGATTCATTTAGGCGGTGATCGCGAAACGCTAATTTCGAGGTGATTTCAACGCTTGCCGCCGCTCATTCATCGCGGATATCCTTGAGCGAACCCCTCCGCTCGAGCGGAAAAATAACGGCGATACCGTCGACATTGTGTCCCTGCTTAAGTCGTGTGGAAAGACCATCGATTCATTCGGGGAGATATTCAGTGTACACTCGTTCGTGGTAATGTAAGAATACATAATTCGTTTCTTCGTGTCCCTCGGTTCCCCACCGGGTGCGTCGATTACGAATCAATCACGCACGAGAGATCCGAGAAAACGATTCGTTCGCCCTTCGTTTCTTCCTTTCTCCCCTCGAAAACCGAACGTCCGCGAGAACCGCGTTCGACCCTCCCGGGGTGCGGAGAGATACGCCCGAGAAGACTTTCAAACTTCTCGGATGAAAACTTCTCGCTCTTCTACGCAACTAGAAAGAGATTACATTCATGCGCGCATGCCCCTTACACCACTCATGCTGCGAAAGTATAAGTATCGAGTTGTCGATTGTAATCGGTTACGATTGTAATCGTACCAAAATTAACAGCGCCAGCAACAACAGCAGCAGCAGCAACAATAACAACTGTAACAACAATAACAACAACGACGACAACGCGCCAAGTATACGTATATATGTACATCGGCTTTCGATGAATAATGCGTCGCGCGGCCGGACGGATCCTCCGTCGTGGATCGCCCGCTACGTCGGTATGCGCGTGTGTCTAGAGTGTGGAATTCGCAATTGGCCCGCCTTCCTTTAAACTACTACAAAGGCCAGTGACGATATAGCGCATTATAAGTAATATATATAATAATAATAACAATGATAATAATAATGTATGTACGATAATATATATCCGTAGAAAAACAAAGCGGTACGTGAGTGTCTACCAACTTGTTGTTACGTAAGATTATACACGTAGCGTCAACTAAGTCCAAAGACAGTGTAGAGATACACACAGGATGGAAAACTGTCATATATATTGCACAAAGAAAAGAGAGAGAGAAAATTAGAGAAAGTGAGAGAGAGAGAGAGAGAGGAAGAGATAATAGTAAAAGTATAGACGTCCCATATAATCCAGAAGCTCGCAGTAATACTGCTGCAATGTTGCAATGTTGCTAACGTTGCAGCATTGTTAACGTTAGCTCTCGCGCTATGCGGGGTAAGATATCCATACACAGAGCTTATCATCCTGGAACACGTTGTCACACTTCGCGTCACGAGGTGTGCAGCGCGGAGGAGACGCCGTCGAGAGAAATTTGAAATTGCTCTCTCCTCCCGGGGGCGACACGTTTAGAAACTCCCGATCGTTCGTATGTGTTACGTAATTCCACTGTTACCAGGTATGTATTTTCACGACGCTATCGCGAGTAGCTACTGTGTACGCGCGCGCACGCACGCCCGCACACATCCACACACGCACGCACGCACACAGATACACCGTCAGAAAAATAAGCTCTAGTGTGATGAACGAGGCTCGGAAGAAGATTCGCCGAGTTCCTGGAGTAATGTCGCGAGGAAAGAGAGAGAAAGAGAAAGCGAGAGAGAGTGCCTAACCCAAGCAGTGTGAATGAAAGGTAGCTAAAGTAGAGATAGAAGTAGAGATAGAAAGACAGAGAGAGAGAGAGAGAGAACGAGATCTACGATTTTTAATTTGTCAACGTAAACGATCACGCAGAGTGAGAATGAAAGTAAAGTCAGTGTGAATGTCAGTGAAGGAAAGTGTCCTCCGTCGAGACCCTCGGATTTTTAGCCTGGAGTTCGATTTTTTTTTTTCTTCTTTTTCCGTAGACAGACGAGCGAGAAAAAGAACTTAATGAGTAGACTTAATTAGGTGGCTCCACCTATTGTATGCGAACGTTCGAACGAACTTAGTGTCGTTGGAGATCGACTGAAACTCGCGATTTCTCGATATGTATAATAACACGTGGCTTCGCGGAGCGCGCGCGTCGCACCGATCTCCCGTCGTCTCATATTATTCAAATCCACTCCACGTTGTCCTAATTTACTATTGGCAACGCGCGAAAGGTAGATAAGGTACGGTTTAATAATGTCCCCGCGATATATATATATATATATATATATGAACACTCGTGTGTGTCTTGTTCGTAGCGAAGCGGCAATGTATACTTTGTCGTATAACCAGCACTTTGACGCCTCTGCACTTTCGAATTATACTGAAAGCAGAAAAGAAACGTTCGCAAATAAATTCAAAACAGATGTTCCACAATGAGACTACAAATCAGGAGAAACTTACGAACATACATATACGGCATTATAACATGCAGAATGATGAAGGGGGTGGGAGGGGCTGGGGTCGCGCGGGTAAAGCGACACACGGCAAACAATTCCTCCTACACTGGGCGGACGTTGCTGTATCGATTCGCACGCGTTGCGCGACGTGAATTAATTAATTAATTAATTGCTCCTCAAACTCACCGTTTGCCTCGTCGGTAAACGGCAAAATGCTCGACGTGTTTTTTTTTTGTTGCTCGATACTCTCGAGAATGGAGCCGAAAATACGCGAATGTGAAAGACGTCGGTGAAATTCGCGATCGTGACGATCGAGGTGATCAGGCTCGAGAATGAACTATTGAAAAATGTATACTAAATGAATTTATGATCTATGAGAGATTCAATTGATTTGGAGTCGAATTTGACGCATTGACTGCCACATATTGCGTAAATGTAACACGTTGACGCTTTTGGAAGTGGCAGTATTACATAGGAATATAATATTATACCTACACAGTAACAAATTTTGTGTTGGTTTAACATGGGGAATACGTTAATAAGTACATAGATATATCTTAATTAACATATTCATCTTGTTAAGGTAACACAAAACGTTTTACTAATCAGTTTCCAGAAATCAGTACCATAAGTATCAAAATATGTTTTCTTAATATGAGGAACTAATTACAAAAAAGAATTTGACATCACGGTAAGTTTGTTTGAGGACTTCGTGGCAGTCATGTTAACAACGTCAGCGCACGCATTGATTTTTATTCGTTTTATAATGAGCGTTTGTTATAATTGCTAAAAATGTACGCTTATTTGCGAAATGAAATTAAAAGGGAGATCACGTGAAGATGTGCGAAATTGAATTGAATACACCCGATCGGCCCGATCATCGCGAACGGCTGAGAGGAAACCGCGTTCCGAGCTCGATCTCGCAATTTGCGGCTGCGTGTTCGAAGAATTGTTTGTCTTGAAGGTGATAAGGACCACAGATTGTTTACGGATGACGTTGGTCGGGTTTTGTGTTTTTCTGTTTCGTTTTTTTTTTTGTTTAAGCCTTACATGAATCGGGATGTGGCTTCTCCTCCGCCACCATCAGGGCTGCGCTCTCTGCTGGCGGTATGTGTCCCTCTAATGCATTCACACAGTTTAGCATGCTCCTGTAAAACATCACGCGACTTGTCCAAGTTTCCACCTCTTCAAACATTTCGGTTGATTCTTTGTGTTTTTTTTTTTTATTTTTGTCTCTTTTTGTGCTCTCTTTCCTGATTACACGAATCCACCTCCGGAGCGCCGATTCGACATGCACCGGTGTTGTAGCGTGCGCGAAAATACACCACGAGTTTAATCGCCACGATTTTTAATTTCGCATCGCATTCGTTACTTTTTTCTCTATTTTATTTTCTTCGGAGCCAGCTACACCGTTTGCGACTTTGACGTTAACTTATCGGCCGTTATACACGATCAGATGAACTGGATATTCATTGAAGTTTCATTGGTACAGCAATGATACACGAGTCGGAACGAATGATTGATGATGATACGATGTAGGAGAAATGGCTATAGATGCAAAGGAAACTCAAAATGGCGATATTTACAAAAGGAAAAACGCAGGCTCATCGTTATTGTATACGCTAATGGTCGCACGTTCTACGGTCACAATGTGATGAGATATAAGAAATGAAACAAAGATGTTTTCTTCCCTCGCACTGTGTGCGAGAGAGAGAGAGAGAGAGAGAGAGAAATAGATAGATAGATAGATAGATAGAGAGAGAGAGAGTGCTCCTAATTTTCCGCCGACATCCCAGACGATAATTCAGATGGTTATCCGAATGACGTTTTCCCTAAATCGCCGGACGCCTCCGTTACGTTACGTTTTTCTTATGGGTGTGCATAGAATATATAAACGTGTGAATAACACTCGAGACTCTCTTTACAATCTACTGTGGATTCGGAGATCCGTGGATCCACGCATAACTCGGCGGATCCAAGGATGCACAGCTGTACTCGTGCGGACGTGTTACACTTTGACAATACAAATGTTAATTATATGTACGTAATGATTCATTTCACAGTTTCTAATCTTGTACTATTACAGCGTTTTCACTGGCCTGTGTAGTAGAATTCGTGATGGGTATGCTTACGAAAATAAGGAAGTAAGAAATAGAAAAACAAAAGAGAAGAGAAAGAGGGGGGGGAGGGGGAATCAATCAAACGGTGTTGATCGACAAAGTTCGGCAGCCCGTGACGCAAAAGATTACACACCTAGTAGGAATTCGATCAAAAGACGATTTCCTACCTATGGGGGGATCATCCGAGGAAACATGAGTCGTGAGGTCTCGACGAAATCAAAGAACCGACGATTAACAACGTAAGATTTCTCGCGCGCGCCCATTTCGCGAGGACACGCGCGAGAAGTTGAGATCGCGATTCCGCGATCGGAAGAAAAAAAAAACTCAAGCCGGTGCGCAATTAAATAAGGAAACAGATTTATTTCACAACACAGAAAGTCTATACGGTCTTGTTCGGTGATGCCGAAATATTCGTATATACGTGGTATATATATTACATAATACTAACGAGCGGTCACACTCGAGAAGCGTATTATATAAGTATGTATTGTATATACAGGATGTTCCAAACATCGCGACTATAATTTTACCGAAAAGTTCTCCGAGCTATTAGAGTTAAGTTTACCTCGGCGAAAACATCGAGATAGTAATAGTTTCCGTTACAGAGCGATCGGAAAGTCGGGATTTTTCGCAAACTGAACTTCGGGCGACCAAATGGAGAAAGAAATTATTTTCTTTTAAAAGAACCTTACTTCGGGCTTTGGTTACAAAAATATGTCAAGTTGACAGAACTTAAAGGTCGCCACGAATAATGTCACCCCCTCGACATTCTCAATGAGGAAAAACTGTCTCCGAAATGCTCCGAGAGTCTTTCGGTGAGATGAAAGTCGCGAGGTTCGGGACACCCCGTATGCATATAATGCGCATCGTACGCACATACATACACATATACACATATGTGTATGCAGTGCGCGTGTCGATTGACAGTTGTCTCACAGTTCTATCGAGCAGCAGGACTCTCGTCTGATCCGCGAACAATTAGTCTAGGTCAATGTCTAGGTTCGGCCAAGGTACGCGCCACACATGGTCTCTACGACATTTCTCTCTCGCTTTTTCCCGAATGCACGACATGGCGGATACAATTTGGTGATTACTAACGTTCTCGTTTGTCTAGGATTTATAGATTATCGGTATCGTGCGTATGGTTGGCAGTGGCGGCGTCAGATAGGACGGTCTCCCTGCTAGAGTTAGTGGTGAGCTCCTCTTCCCTGCAAGACAACAACGTTACATGGCCATCGAGCCTCGAATCGAATTTGTTTTTTTTTGCGAATCTTTGCTTTTCAGAGAGAGAGAAATCCTATTTTCTTTTCTTATTTCTTTCCGCTTGTTTCCTTTCTTTTCTTTCTTTCTTCTTATTTTATTTCTTCCTATCTTTTACACGCGAGTCACACCTATCGCAAGCTCGTACGTTCCTCTCTAAAACGTTCACGCACAATGCATCCTACGTGGAGGAACTAAAAGGTAAACGATCGATTCTATAATATTTCCTTTCGTCATTTTCTCTATAGTGTTTACTCGGATGGATGAGACATCGACAGCTCGTGTTTCAAACTATATCACGCCGGGTATGTCGCAGCTAACGCTAAATTGGCCCCGGTAACTAATGTGCCTCTCTCTAAACTGCACATGTATGCTTTCCCGTAAAAAAAGAAAAGAAACAAAATCGACATATCGATTGTCAATCGAATGCGATAACTAATTGATTGTACGATGACACAACGATAAGACGACACACCAGATGAATGACGTAAGATCTAAATCTAAGATGTCCTTCGATCGAGAGAGCAAGGCACACCGCGGATAAACTCGTCTCTTGAATCTAAATATCGTCCGATTCTATATATTCCGATTTTTCCGATACTTCTTACGGTTATTCTTGAGTCAAAATTGTAGTTCTACGTTAAGTCTATTTGGTCCTACATTAAGTCCTCAAGTGGAAAAAATGACAATAACTTCCCATTTGTAGCATCAAAGGAACACAAGTGGTTTTTTAGCGCTGCAAATAGGAGATGAGACATCTCGAACCTAAATTTTAGTTTTACATTAAGCCTTCAAGTGGAAAAAGACGACAATAACTTTCTATCTGTAGCATCAAAGAAGTACAATAGAAAACTTTTAAAGACTTACGACTGTATTCTGAACCCTCTTTTATCGATAAAAGTGCTTTAAATGTGGCTCTTCAGACTAATCAGATGGTTTCTAAATCACTTTAGAACTACTTCTATCACGATATCATTTTTTTCGGATCTTAATGTAGAACTAAAATTTGTACTCATGTTCGGCCGAATTTCGCACGGATGTTTCCCACGAACTAAATAATCTTTCGGACACTTTTACCGTTCCAAAACTTTTCGCCCGTATTTCAAGAAATAAAGAAGAAAAGAAAGAAAAAAATAATTTTACGGACCAATCATATCGACTTCGAATTGCACTGCTCGTGTATTCGATTGCATTTTCTCTCCACGGTCGTATCACGGATAGGTAAAGTGACAAAAAGAAAGAAAGAAAGATCGAATGATTGACACACACAGGATCGGACGACTCGGCTTGTTAATTCAGTCGTGAGAGCACAGGTTGTTAGAAGCGCAGCGATTGCGTATTGTTAGTCGGTTACTCGGTTAGTCGGTTAAACGAACAAATTCGCAGATTAATTAGCAAATTCACGAAATATTTAGCCTCTACCAGCCCTGGATTTTCCCCATCGCCGTGTCTCCCTTCACCAAAGGNGGGGGGGGGGGGGGGGGCATGTGCCTTCGCGAGGAAGCGAGTCCCGCGATAATGCGAGAGAGTTAAAACGCGAATAAGCCCCAAGCGCATTACCTTCGATCCTCGTTAGTTACCGTCCGATTAACAAAACACGGCGATTACGTCACGCTGTCTCTTCTAATCGGATCATCCCGACGAACAAACGAACCCAAGAAACTCCCGCCGTAATAACATCGCGTAAAAAGCGACGTAGTGGTGTGGCCATCGGCCGCCGGTTTCTTCCCGACGTACGGGAGAGGCACTCCCCGAATGTTTCGGCAAAACCTTTCCTTAGTCGGACAAGGAATTCTCGTAAAACTACAAGAAGGGTGAAATAATCACCGAGGAGGAGGGAGGTGGGAGGGTTGGGGGTAAATGGGCGTAAAGAAAACGTCTCGCACGCGCGAGTTTATCGTGAGCTGCACTGGTCACAAATAATAAGGAGAAAAACGTCCCTCGTCTTTTCTTTCTCGCGCGTAGACGCGAACGAAAGAGCGAAAATCGCGCGAACGATCGCACGCGCGATCTTTTTTTCCTTTTTACTCCTTTCTCTCGCTTTTCTCGAATCGCGACGAACGGCGACGCGTATATATATAATAGAGAACGTTGCAAAAGCGTCGGAAGGGGGGGTGGTGGGCCTTCGCCGCTCGTCCGCACGTCGATCGCAAACGTCGAGATATATATCGTGTCTCTCAACACAACTCAGGAATCGCTCGTAACGCCAAACAGTAAGTAACGTAAGCACTAGAGAACGCATGCAGTCGCACAGTACAGCGCCATAAACTCGTGCCAACTATATCGACATAAAAAACTGTTTCCAAGACTCGCCTCTCGCCGAGACATTTACTGGGCATTGTATAGACTAAAAGGAGCATGCTGTAAAATACAAGGCTCCAGGAGGTAGTCAAGTGATCGGGGCTGTTATGTACAGAGCGATCCGGAGACGCGGCTCCGGTCGTTCTTGCGCGCTCTCTAGCCTCGCCGAAGGCACGCACACTCGCATCTCGCTCCGTCTCGCGTAAGTGAAGCGCGAGAGTAATGCGGACGGATTAATAATTAAGTGTGCAAGTCGACGCGTGTGCGTCGGCTGTGGATAAGAAATTCGAGAGATTAAAACGACGAGTTCCCTCGATCGGGCGGAATCGCGAAACTTTTAGGTGGACGGCGACGTTTACATAATAGCCCTGACGAACTTTTAGAAACTGTGAAATGTATCTCCACAAAAGAAAAAAACGAACAATTTATATATATATATATATGTATATATATGTAATATATATATGGTAACAACTTGTCCATGCAGCTATGTATATATATATATATATATATCTGTCTCTCTTAGTCACAGCCTGACTGTTTACGCAATGAGATGGAGACTCGCATGAGCTGATAGTAAGTAAAGATGTTTCGACATGCCAGGCCGTTAGACCAAAGTTTCATGATAATCTCATGGTTAGCTGGGGATTATTTTTTAAACCAGCGGTTATCGCCGATCGCCTCTCTCTCTCGGAGATTGCGTCTGAGAAATATAGATGTCAAGCGCTCGAGACGGACAGACGGAGAATTGTCTCTCTTTCGGCGTCCGCATATACTTCTCAGTTGCCGTTGCGTCTCGTTTCACGGAGACGCTTCCCGACAAACTTGGCGGGCAGCTTCGATCAAGCAGTTAGTGTTTTTTTTTTCTTTTTCGCAGGGAAGGAAAACGATTGAATTATCTGTCGTCTGTTTGTGATAACGCAGTTGCGCTCGATGCATAAAAAATAATCCCTCTTTTGGATGTAATTAGTGGTGTCTTTGATCGTTTATCCTCATGCAGTTAGGTATTCGGTAACGTTCGTAATAATATTGTAACAAAGCCACCACAGGTAACAGGAAGTGTTGTAGCAGGACTCACCCATAAAGTCTGCTGTCCCGCAAGCTGCTCCTGCTCCGAATAACACAGAAAGCACAGTTACGATATATCGAATAACACAGTCGTCGACGTCGTAGTAACGAAACACAGAAACTAACGGAAAATCGTTACCAGAGAGAACCATGAAATAATTGATTTTATTGAAATGATACATGTACAATACGTTAAACAAAGAGAAAGAGAGAGAGAGAGAGAGAGAGAAAATATATGTTCATTTGGCCTTGAAAATATAACAATAAGACTGCGAAATCTCTCTTCCCCCAACACGAGACTCGAGGAAATAACGTGTCTCACGGATTACATTACTCGTGAAAGAAACTCGCAATCTCCCGATAAATCTAGTTACGACGGTTTTGCATGACCGACCGATTGACAGATCGATCGATCGTTCCCTCCTATGTATAACACAGAACACAGACACGTTCTCGCGACCCTCTCTCCGTGATCTTAACAAGGTGTGGTCTACACTGCGAGGATCAAGAGCAAGATAGCTGAACTGTAGCACCTTGTTCGCAAATTTTCCACTGACAGGATTCTAAAATTACGTTCTTTTGGTTTACTTTGGTATTTTCAGAAGCTAGTAACCTACTACGGAGATTGTTTCTTTTTTTTCTTTTTTCTTTCTTTCCTACGCTTTTGTTTCCTCGTACATAATCTTCTCGTTACATGATTCGCACGATATGTCTTCTATTTGCTATCGATTAATTGATAATGCGTCTTATTCGTAATAAGTATATGCAAAATCGAACGTCTCTTCCGATAGCTTGACGAAATGAGAAAGAAAAAAGAAGGAATTCGCGAAGATATCGTTTGCGACCGAAGAAAAAAAAAAATAAGAAACCAAGCGCGGCGTGATGAGATTTTCAGTGTGAGATCCACGATAATAATAACGTTCTACTTAGACATATGTACAAACGTCCGCGCGCATAAGAATACAACGTAATTCCTCTCCATCTTAAAAACGAAACTTTTATCACAGTTGAACTCCTGTTATTGCTTCGAACAAACAGCGATGCATGCAAAATGCGTAGCGTAATATGCTGTCCCGCCGAGAGTATATATAATACAGTAGAGAGAATATATATATATGTGTATATATATATACGATCGTCTTAATAAATTATAAATATATATATATATAGATGCATATAAATATGCATGTATAAAATGCGTCGTCAAAGATTCGCGAGAAATTCCTTATTAAAAATAACAGACACTTTTTCGTTATCAGATGTATACGGACGGTCGGACGGACGGACGGACGGACGGATGCATGGACGGATGCGATAACAGTATCTCATACACCAAAATACGGCGCGTGTATACGGTTAATTTATCTCTAAGTCTCTAAAACCTTCCTTCTCCTTCGGTGCAATTAACGGTTAGTTAGTAACTTGTGCGGTTAATTAGGTTCGAAAACGTGAACTCGATCGTCCATTACTTAACGTTAACTTCGAATACGTACCGAGTCGGAAACGAAACGGGATACATTGAAAGGAGAGGGAAGCGAGAGGGGAGGGAGATGGGGGATGAGGAGGGAGTATATCGCGGTTTCAAGCTATGTATACATACGTATATATACGTATAGGTATGTAATAATAAGGTACCGGAGAGAATTCCCTCTCGAAAGAAACTAAAGAGAGGCGGATGCAGAAGTCCTCAACTATGTATATAACATTTTGCTATTGTACGTACTGGGGATGGTAGTAAGTTGCTTATGTGCTGCGTACCTGTCGTTACCATGTCTGAATAAAGCTAGAATCTCTTCGAATGTTTTATTCTTAGTCTCAGGAACCTTCTTGTAGGTGAAGATCCAGAAGATGGCTAGAAATGCACTGAACGGTAGGAACGTGTAGTTTTCAAGGCTAGTCTGTAACAGAAGAAACGTGGGCACGCAGCCGTTTTGGTATCGAGCCGGATCTGCGACCGATCGCGTTATCACATCGACGAATAATGACGGGAAAATAATTGATATTAACGCGTCCCTCGCGTCAACTTCGCTCGTCGACGATTCAACGACTAACCGTGCTCGCGAATATACACAGTCGGCAGATTATAGCCCGGTAAATACCAACAGCAATATTATAACAATGTTGTAATTTCCTATTTGACAATGTAATTGTTACGTATAACGCATGTTATGTTGCATTTACATTGCTGAGTGGAGAATTATAACATTGATATAACGTTATTGTTGGTTGTAATTGGTGTTTGCTCGGAGGTTGTAACGTTCCGTGTCCAACAGGAGAATTTGTTTTTTAGTAGTTCTTGTTATATGCATTTTCCTATCGGATACGATATGCGTTGCGAGGCTCATTGAAAGAAGCGACCTTTGATTTGCCGACTATGTACAGTCGGTGTCATATATATTGTACCATTCCTTGGATTAAAATTTTTTACTATTACACAATTTTTAGCATTTTATGTGTATAAATAAAATTGAAACTATTTTAATCAGAGCCATCGTGTAACCATCTGTCTAAGGAATAGTACAGCGTATATGACGCCGACCGTACGCGTTTCGAGAAGAAATCGGCAAGAACACGGATGATCGGGTCACGTTACTCACCTTCATGCTTGGAAAACCGATGCCAACCAAAAAATTAGCTATCCAGTTGACGAGAACCGCGATGGACATGGCGGCCGGTCTGGGGCCTTGCGAGAACAGTTCTGCCGTGATCATCCAGGGTATCGATCCGGGTCCTACCGCGAAGAACACGACGAAGCTCAGCGTCGACACCACCGAGAGATAGGACATCCAGTCGATCATTTCCTGCACATAGCCGAAGAACTCCTATCAGGCAGTAGAATCATGTTCTTCTTTCCTGAGCAGCTGGAGGAGCCTCAGGAGAAACGAAATCATAATACGGCAGGCCAACTCAAAATCGAGAACTTGAGAAACCCATATGCGTCGAAAACGATATATATATAGGCGCACAGAAAAGTAACTTGTATGTATATATATGTATATACAATGTACTGACATGCGGTGCGCAGCTCAATCCTGTGTACGTAAGAGGCATTGCGACGTGATTGCGGCGAAGTATCTCGTAGAGAATAGTGACGGTGCCTAGTTATATTTACAGTACCGTTCCCTCGTCAAGCGGTGAAGCACGTTGAGATTCATGATGGGTGCCAGGATTCGCTTCGACCTCGAGTACTCAGAATAGACGAATGCGACCGGCCGCATGGGAAAAAAGTAGCTCCCGCGGGTAAACATTGTCCGTCCATATAATACAGTTGCAATTTAGTTAATTTAGCTCATTCTTTTTGTCTCCGCATCTCCGCCCGGAGAAAAATAATTTTGCTGATGCAGCAAAATTATTTTCTTCCGTGTAGGTTTTTAGCTGCCGCAGATAAAATCTAGGCCCTGGTAACTAAATTACAATTATATTATACGGGCGACTAATCCCCTTTTTCCGACCGTGGTCGCCGGGTTTTCCTACGATCGCGAGACACCCGCACGCGAAGTCTCGAAGAGGCCGGGCGTAAGAAGTTTCCTACTTCCCTTCCGAATCCGCCATCCTTTCCTCGTGATCACCGGTAAACCGACGCGGGATGTGAATCGTACTGCTTGTCGCGGTCGTTAATATGTAAGCGAGCACTATTGAGAACGTAGAAACCCTTCACCAGTTTCCGTGAAAGCGTCCTCGGTGAATGGAGAGTCGCCCTTCGGGTCTTCGTTTTACTAAGATCGACGTGGTACACGTGGTGAGAGAAAGAGAGAGAGAAGAGAGAGAGAGAGAGAGATTAGTTTACAATTGGAACATACATCGGTTAAAAACCGGTCGATCATCGACGTAATGTGACACACAGAGCGACAGGTTTGAGCCGAGTAAAGAACACAGGCTGATTAATAACGGGAAGTATAAACGTCTCCTCCAGACAGTCACGAAAGAGGTCGTCAGTGGTGAGGGGGAGGGGAGGAGGGAAGCAGGTTACAAAAAGCGGAACTACCAGTAAAGCCGGAGTAAAAGGAACAAAACGGCGTGCGATGTGCGATACGTGCGACACCGTTCGAGTCTTCGCGTCTCCTTCTTCTTCCGCGTGTGTCTTTTTCCGCCTTCACACTTTGTTCTCCCTCCCAACTTTAATATCGTCCTCACCAACACCATCCTCGCTGCCGGGGATTACGGCGGCGAGGACACCTGGAAACGGCCGTTTGAATGATCACGAGTGCCTCTTGAAAATGTTTAGCGACGGTCGTTGAAAATATTTACGAGCATCCTCCTTCGGGAGGATTTTCCGCGCGTGACGGTGTCGCGACGTGTCACGACGGTGGTGGAGTTTCTACGAGGCAAACGAAAAGAACGACATGCGGGCGGAGGACGGTACTTATAAGATACATGAATGGCGGGGAGAAATTAACATGAGTAACGGTCGAGTGATGCAAAATTCGTAGAAGAGGTATATCAGTTGTGATTCTCACTGTCGGTGCAGTGCCGCACTCCAGCTGTGAACAAAGTGTTAAGTACACCTCCCGCCAAGGTGCATAGAGAGAGTGTTGAAAGCACAGATAAGTAGCTATGTACAGATTCACGTTTCCCGTGATGCGACTCCATCGGGTGAAAAGCACAGAAAGTTTTCTCAGCGAGCTCACGGAGACGGATTATTGAGAGAGAGAGAGAGAAAGAGATTTTCGCCGATATATTATTGCGTCATGCGCATAATCATTCGCAAAATCGGGATCTTCTGTATTTTTCCAAGCGACGCGTGGAACTAAATGATCGCTTTGTCTCCGCCGATGTGGAATATTACGCGGAATGTGTGACGTGTATTAATTATCTTATTGAGTTCATCAATTTCAATCAAATTGCCGGACAATGGACGCCCGAACGGGAATTCCCGAGAATCGATAATATTAAATATTATTCGTGACTATTCCTGAAATAATACCGTCGAGAGAAACGCCCGGAGCGGGATCGCCCCGGCGGCGACGGTTAATCGTTGCAAAAATAATAACGAGCGCGAGCGCGTCGTTTACATTCTGATAAAAGAGCGCGTGTCGGAATTCCAACTCACCTTTATGAGAAATGAAATTGTGATGAATATTGAAAAGATAAACATGCCACCGAGACCATACAAGTGCAATGTACGCCTTCCTGTCCTATCCATGAGCGGGATGGACACTAGCGTCATACAAACCATGATGGCACCTATGCCAATGGTTGCAAACTTGGCACTCTCATCCGTTAAACCAGAACTAGTGAACAGATTCGTAGAATAATAAAATACCTGTAAACAGAGCGCGATAACGCGATGTCAGTGAGACCCGTTCGACAAAACGTCGTATTTGAATAAACCAGCAAACATGATAACGTATTAATGACGATGTCATTAATAAATAAATGATACGTCATTTTGTCGTCATTGCTATAGTATCATGTTCGTTGGGAATATTCCGGAGAGCAAAGAGACGCGAGGCGGTTACTCACGGCATTGATACCCGAAAGCTGCTGCGAAAGTTGCATAACCACACCAATCACGAGAGGTGCTCTCAGAGTTGGGCTGCATATAAGCTCTGTCATTGAGATGGTAGACTCGGCTTGTTGAGCTCGTTCCTCCGCTCTCATCTCCTCAATGTCTTCTTCTACTTGGTTACTGGCTCTCAACCTTCTCAAAGCTTTCCGAGCCTCTTCCTCCCACTGTTTAGTAATGAGCAAATATCTGAAATCGCAACAATTTCCCGTCGTCAGTCCGGAATCTTAGTCTAAATCTCGAGATGGAGCTCGTTCCAGGAGCCATGCGGACTCCTGGATTACTCCTCCGAGGATCGAACCCATTCGGGAACACTTTTTTCATTTCGATCGCACAACAGTTCGAGTCGTCCTCACCTCGGAGATTCAGGGCAAACTGGAAGCAGCAGTAACTGTAGAATGGCAGGACAGATAGCTAGTCCTAAGAGAACGGGCCAACCCTCGTTTGTTCCAAGAATCTGCTCGATGCCCAGCACCTGGGAGACCAGGAGGCCCACCGTAACAGCGAGCTGGTTCACCGTGCCTAGGCCGCCTCTCAGGTTCAATGGCGCTATTTCCGATATGTACATGGGAACCAACGAGGTGTTCAAGCCACAATTGACACCGATGATGAAACGTCCGAAGAACAGCATCTCGTATGACTCAGCGAGCTTCGTGAAACCCATCAGGCACGCCCCCACGATGCCCAGCACGTTGTTTAGCAGTAAGCCTCCCTTTCTGCCGTTCGAAACAGAAGATCACAGTTAATTCTCGTGTCTCGCACGACTCGCCCGATTATCGTTCTCCGGTGACTTCCAAATTACAGAAAGGGTAACATTTTATGTTATTATCGAGCACATTTAACACTTTCAATACTCTTTATACGGAAATGTTTATACACAGATATATAAACGGGTTGCATTGAAAGTGTTAATGGAAAGTTTGTGAAATACTGTATATAAAGACATGACTATCCAAAGAAAAAGGAGTTTTAGAACATCGCAACGTCCACTCGCGCACATAAGGTGGCCCAAAAGTCGGTTACCGTCTCAAATTTCTCGGAGTTCTAATACACAGAAAGAAGTGTTAGATTTAAATAAATAATCACTCCAATACCCCTTAGCAAATTTTTACCTGGATTAAGTAAATTTTATTTGGATGATTCACTTGGAAAATATTTTACTTGGATCAAGTAAATATTACTTGACCTTAATAAAAATTTGCTAAATATTGGAGCAATTATTTACTTGAATCTATATTTTTTTTTCCATGTACAATCTGCAGAAAGAATTTTCAATGTATACTACCTGTAAAGGAGCGAATTTATCAAATTAGCAACTGACTTTGGGACCATCCTGAATTATGCTCCATTGAAAGAAACGCGAGAAGAATTGGCGCAAAACTGGAAGAGTGCCCAGATATTGTAATTTGGAAAGCGTTGGTCCGCCTCATCAAAATCGAGAAGGGCAATTTAGTCGAATGATGCACTAACCTGCCAAATCTGTTGGCAATTGTCCCTCCACTGAAGCCACCCACCATACCACCGATCGCAAATATGCTCACGGCCACGGAGTATAATTTCTTAACAGAATCATCCGAAATGTCTTCCCCGTACCTATCCTTGTACACGTCTTTCATAAAGTTCTCTATATTCTGCAAGAAATTTCGAGCACGATGAATTATGTACAGCAAGAGATATCGGACATGTACATAAATATATTCGTGACAATTATTCGGGACGCGCATGTAGCGTCGTGCCAATGTTAAAGGGCGTACCACTTCAGGCGCGTTAATCACTCCAGTGTTGTATCCGAACTGCAACATTCCCAAAACGGCAGCCAGTATCGCGTACGACAGGAAAAGCGTCAGTCCCTGCAAGCATTCGAATTTGTCGTTTACAATTTCACAATTTTACATTTTTTAACACTCTCAATACTTTCCACGAAGATCTTTGTAGATAGGTGTGAATGAGTAGCATTGAAAGTGTTAATAGAAGATTTCCGAGACACTACACATAGAGATATGGCTTCCTGAAGAAAAAAGCTTTTCGATTAAAAAATTATATTAAAACATACTTTCAAAATCATACAAAATACAATTTTCCCAGCATATACGTGCACTCAGTGCGATAAAAATGTATACTCGGGAAAGAAAAAAATGTGTTATAATAAGAGGAAAGGAAATTTAGCAAACGGGAGAGCAGTGTGTTTCGTAAAAGAACAGGACTGCTGCAAAATAAAATAAAAATACAGGAACATAACATTGTTTCGCAAACTTTTATTAACTGCTTCGTTGACACATACACACATACACACACACACACACACGCACACTTCCGGAACATAAAAATCACATATCAACGAGGAGATCAAGGCGCACGAAGTTACAACGTGCGACCGAGCATTCATGACACGGCTACTCGAAGTTCGCGTTCTCAAACTTAAAACATAAGAAAATCAAAGTGCGAAGAAAACGTCGCTGCTCAAAATCAGAAATCACCTGCTCCAAGAGCCTAAGTTTCCGCCGATGGGAATGCTCTTCCAGTCGATCCACGTACTCTCGCAATTCTTCTATTTCCTCCTTAACCTGCTGTACCGTATCTAGTTCGTGCTGCGTGCAAAAAATACATCTTAGATACTCGCATAGACAGTAGTTGCCATTTTTACATCATTGGAAGTTACTACATTGACCGTCGCGAAGATTTCATGCTCCTGGGCGTGAAGAGTTTTCCGCGCGCGCGATTCCACTCTCTAAAGTACAGCCAGTGTATTATCACGGAGAAATAGTCAATAGTCACTAGTAATCATAGTTATAACAAATCAATAAAATTTCGCTGCAAAAACAACAACCGTTTTTATCGAAGAAGTCTAATCGCAGTTGCGAGCTTATGAGAACGATCCGAACGGCTCTGTCGACGAAGATCAGCACAGACCGGAAACAACACACACGCCGGATAATGTACCTTGATCGCGACCATATCCCGCTTCACCTCGCTGACTTCGCTCTGACAAGACTCTACGCTCTTCGTGAGCTCCTGCAGCTGCGTGCGGATCTCGCAGAGAGCGACGGTAGTCTCCAGCTGGCGGTCACCCCGCTGCTGCAGCTCGTCCAGCTTGGCATTCAAGTTCGAACTCATAACGCTGACCTGTTTCTGCAGACTGTCCCCACACACACACAATCCCTGCGTGAATCTCGCTGATTCGTACGGTAGAGCGGATCGACATAGTCGAGCATATTGCCACTAGACAAATCAAGGCTAGCTATGCCTAAGTCCCTAAGGTAAGAGTCCAACTACCTCCGCGCTTAACTGCCGAGCCTCTCCGCCGTGCGAGCGTTTATTAGCCGCGACGCGTTCTCGCCTCGTCGCTTTATGCGCTTATTATGTCGCGTATGTATTCTATTTTCGCGGGTGTCGTCGCGTCGCGAAGGTACGGTATGAGACTTATGAGACATACGTGTAGAGCTGTGCAACGTTGAGAAAAAAACGATTCAACAGGTGTAACGGGACACCTTTAGCCCGCGAGAGAGCTCGAAAGCGCGGCGAGTCAGCGTTAGCTCGGCAGCCATGGGAACGTTGGTTGAGTGTGTATATATGTGTGTATATATATAAATATATATATATATACGCGAATATATAACACATGTGGACAGATAGAGATATATGTACAAAATTGACTCTCTCTCTATATATTATATATAATATATATTTATGTAGTATAGTATATATATATAATGTCACAAGTTGCAGAGAAAAACAACAGCAGACAAAATACAAACGCCACTAAAAGCACGTCTAAATGTGTGTGGTGAGTGTGAGGGTGACAGACACTACAGTGGTTATAATTATATATAGTACATATGAATATAAATATATTCTTCGTAGCTGTGCACACACATTAGATGGAAGTTTGTGAATTCGCGTGTGTGTAGAGCGACATATACGTATTATATATATGGAAAAAAAAAGTGCCTTTTTCTTTTCTCGCAAATGTACTTTCTTGTTGAGACAATGTCGGAAAGTGATGATGCTACGTCCGTGAAGTCTTAGGATCTCGCGAACCTAACCATATCGCCTCTTGGGAGCTATTTTTGTCCTCTCTCAGTGTACGATCATTCAATGACCACGATGCGGGAATGTGCAAGTGAGTGAATAATGATTGATCACACGCACGCACTCGATATACATGTATAAAAGACATGTGACGGAGGACCATGAAACTTTCGAACGACGGTGAATTAGCAAACTCATCGATCGATGTGCACAGCCAAGCAGAAAGGGTGACTTAAGATGAGAATATAATAAAAAAAGAGAGAGAGAGAGATTTTTCTAAAAACGTGTGATGGGCGACAGGTGAATAGCAGAAATGAATGAGCACATGATTCGAAGACGCGGGGAGATGAGACAGAAAGTAAGAGACAGGGAGAAGATAGCGGGTTCACGGGCAGAGAGATAGACATAGAGAGAGAGACGGACGTATGTACACTTATCAAACAAAGGATTGCACCGCCACCTGCCTGTCCGGGCGAATGGAGAACGATGGATCGGGAAGAAAGAGAGAGATAGATAGATAGAGAAAATGAGAGGGGAAAAAGAACCGAGGATCTAATGCATTCAAGAGTCTCTATCGTGGCCACGCATTCGGGGTGAGTGCAGCTAAGGATCTAACTCTGCATCCAAAAGAGATATCGAGGTTCGTTCGTATAACGATACCGAGTCAATCGAGCGTAATTAATCGTGCTTCGGAGGAAGCGTAACCCAAAAGTGGTACAAAACTATTTTTGATACGTGTACATAGATCAAAGACACGGGAGAGAAAGAAGAGAGAAAGAGAGAAAGATAGAAAGAGAGAGAGAGAGAGAGAGAGGGGACAAAGAGATAGATAAAAAAAGAAAGAAAAGAATGAAAGAAAGAGAAACAGAGAGAGAGAGAGAGAGAGCAGTGATGATGTTGTCATGTACCTGGGAGGTAGGGAGACCATGGCTGTGTTCCGAAACTACAGTAGCCTCTATGCCTCCCCACTCACTCCTCTTGATTCAGTATTTCGTCTTATTCTCACTGATCTATTTGTTCTTTGCTTTGTTCACGACATATGTACGTACGTTGGATTATCCACCAAATCCAATCAATTGACTCTGAACTGCTTGTTGTCAAGTGGGTCCACAACCAAAGGTGGAGGGGTAACGTGTGGCGGGAGGGGGTATAAGGCCCGACGACGCCCGCCCCTGCCTCTCTTATCTCACTCACTCTGTAAAACTTTACCTAGTTTGGAAACACAGTCGTGGTTCAGTCAAAATCATGTCATAATGATATATTCGCTCGCATTAGTAATCGTGACGTCCAATTCTTCTAAAAAGAGACGGAGCCGTCACGTGTGAAGAGAGTTTCTCACACATCACCATGCGACGCACCGCCAGCTTACTCACCCCTGCCTAGCCGCCCGCGTCCACAAGCGAGCTTGCAATTTGAATGGCCCATCACTTTATGCGGAACGAACAGTCGGCAAAATAATTTACAAAAATCAGCATGACCTCATGAGTGATAAAGAATCAGACACGCACACAAATAAGTCACAGCGATGGCACATCGAGCAACAAGTATAATGGTAATTACTGGTAGTAATAGTAGTAATAGTGCGTCGTCTTACGTGGATCTACGACCACGCGCGGCCCTCGTCACTCGACGGGGCGGGAAAATCGTGCTCGTGATTGTCTATTTGCGTTCACACACACAAGAAAGTGAGCGTTGTCTGAAATACTCCGAGAATACAGTCTGAAATCCTTACAGAAAAAGAAAAAAAAATCACAGAAATTTTGAGTTTGAGAGAGAGAGAGAGGAGGGCAAATCTACCGTGGACGGGGACGAATATTCCGAGAGGATTTCACTTTCGTCCCCGTCCAGGCGAATCGCGGTTCGCTCTACGGACTTTTGGAACTGCTCTCTTGCCGATTACGATGCGCATATACCCTGACAATTTGTGTTTCGTCGCGAATCGGCCCGTTGGCACCCGTGTCCCCGTGTGTGGCATACAAGCCCGGACATCATTACCGCCTTTATACGTTCCTCTGCGCGATAGCTCTACGGGTGCTATCGCGCGGCTTATTTGTGCACCTGACTTCGAGAGGGACATGACTTCGAATGGAATGAGCAATCAGTGGTAAGCCTGCGAGCGCCGCAGCCAAAAAATTCAAGTAACCATAACAACGTATCGGTAGTGTCTGATTATCGACTGTTATGAGACCGAGAGTGTGTAGTATGTACAAGAATAGGTTTAGAGCGAGTGTGATTTATGTATAAATGATGAATGGCATGGCACAAAGCCTTGCATTGCATTCTCGGATACATAGAGAGTCTAATAAAAACGATAAGCGGGAAAAACGTCCGTTCTTTCTCTTTCATTTTTTTCTTTAACGTTTCATTTTTGTTTCCTACACTATTCTCTTCACATTTTCTCTTCACTTTTCTTTGTTTCGTGTATTTTTTGTTTCCTTCTCTCTCTTTACTTTTTGCTTCCTCCTCTTTTCTTTCGCCGTCACGTAATTGTCGTAACTAAAGGCACCGCCACTTAGGCCGGAATTACCTGGACGCATTTGCAACACAGTTAGGTTCTCGAGAGAACGATGTTTATGGAATGGTAGGTCGTAAAGTCGTTTTCGTCAGTAGCGAAGCTCATGATCGATAAGTAAGTGTTATCGATTCGAGGGGAGGGGAGCACTTTAACAGCGGATAAAAGAGAGCGAGGAGTGTCCTCTTGATTGGTATGCAAGTCTCGAGAGCTCATACTCGCCGTTCTACCGGAGATACCAGGCTAAGTCACTCGTGAGATTCAAAGGACCGTGACTGTTAATGTTAGCACGGCGGAGCCTCTGTTACACGAACCGGCGGGCGAGCACGAGTATGTCGGAATAACCGAATCGCGCGTGAGGACGGAGGGTCCTCGAGTTGTAGCAGCAAGAATGACAAGTAGTCACTCGTGTGACTCGTTCTACCCTGCCTCGAGACTGCACCCGCGCAGAATCACTCGCGACGCTCCCTTCCAACCGTTGTTACCGAGCGACTTTGTTCGTCGTGACTCTCCGGCGAGGTGAATGATCACTTGGATCGCGCGAGTCAAGAGTAGCGTAGGCACGTTCGAAGACTCCACGTCCGTTCGTCGCTGGTGATGATGATCGGAAACAACGAGAGTCAATCGGGAGGAGGGTGTTCGAGTAATGGCGACTCTATCATGCCAGCTCGAGAATTGAGACATAGGTATAGAGAGACTAAGAAAACTTTCTACGCTTCACTCGTCGTGGAAAGAGTAAAGTATGGTTTCTATACAAGACCCTAAAAAGAGGTCACTACGATGATGAAAGATCAATACAGAATTCTAAAGGCTAGACTATGGTAGAATAATATTTCAAGTACAAATTCGTGAACAACCCGCTCGCAATGTCCGCCGAGTTAATCCTCCACGGCCTCCGGTCGGATGGGCGAGTGGGAGAGACAGGACACGTCGCGTTAATTTACTTCATTTCGCGCGTTACCTCGCCGTACACACGAAGGAGACCCGTGGAGGAGCTCGACGTGCCGGCGAACACGCGTGCGAACGGTGTAACAGAAATGTTTCGAACGCGCGAGCCTTCGGCTCATTGGTCGTTCGACGTCGATGCGAGAGAACCGCGATGTCGTTCGTAACGATCATTCCAACACGAAGAAAGCAATTGTGTCCTCTACGTAAAAAAAGGAACAAATAAAAGTAGCCCTACTAAGCGGGACGTCGTGAGCGCGCGGATTTTCGTCCGATCGCGAGCAACAGTTTGCAACAGTCAGGGAGACGCCGATAGAGTTGGCGAGGTTCGCGCGATGGGCACGGCTCCTCCGCCAACTGCCATCGGCGCTGTTACGTCCGACAATCCAGATAATTCTTAGAGACATCGGTGGCGACGCCAATCGTCCTCGATAAATGTAACTTGTGTTTCACATCGGGTTGTCATAGGAGCCTCGTTGGTCTTTCGACAACTGGACCGCGTCCGGCCCGGGGGTGCTGAGGATCAGCAGCTTCAGAACCAATCATGTGAGCCCCGAATAATGACATACATGGAAAAAATATCGTAGCGATACTTGGCACAAAATCGTGTAATGCCAGGATTGTAACTGAAATTACGATGTGTTCTGCAATCTTTAATAATGTATTTTACTGTACGCATCGCGCTAAAGATTACAACATACGCCAATAATTTCAGCCGTAGTTCCGGTATCGTCCGGCGTGCGAAAATTTCGCGGTAATTTTTACTACAATACAACACGATAATAATAAGGTAGACATTTTCCAGGATGCAACGTGTAATTCTTTCTTCGGTACAAAAAACATATACAAAAACCATACAGAATTTTGTTCTTCATAATTGTACAGAGAAATAACACATCTCCGATCTCTCTCTGAACGAGCCGCGGCAGTTCTACCGAGAGATCAACAAAACTCGCACGACAACTCTGCCCCTTCGGCGTACGGTGTGTATAACGGGGGAGGGGGGGTCCTGCAGTTGTCTCGAGAACGCGAAAACCGATAACTCGTCCGCGGTGGAGGTGTACACCGATGTGGGCAAAAGAGAGTGTGAGGGAGACAGACTAATCGTAGTCGCAGTAACTGCTAGGTCGTCGTAATAGTCGTCATCGTCGTCGTCATCATCATCCGCGCGCGCGCGCGCGCACGCACCTGGCGAACGAACGTACCTTACGAGCAACTCCCGTAGAGTGGCTTCATCGTCCTCCTGTACCTCTTCCTGCGTCTCATTACTGAACGAGCCGCGGCCAGGGTGATGATGGCGGTGCTGCCTACCGGTCGTCCTGACGCCGGGGGGATACTGGCCGTGCACTCCGTGTCCGTGGTGATGGTGATGGTAGTGCGCGGCGTTGGTGTTGGCCGAGTGCAAGTACCGGGCGACGGTGTTGCTGCTGCTGCTCGCTCGCCCCCTGGTCAGCTTGAGGCCGGCAGCGGTGGCCGGCAGTACGGCTCCTGTACCGGGCTCCACGTGGCTCCTGCGCGCGGCATACTGCTCCTCCTCCACCCTGCTGATGACGGTCTGACGTGCACCCGATGGCCGATCGGCCGGTCTGCCGCGCGACGATTCCGCGCCGCCGTTCGCCCGTCGGCTCCTGCCGGCGCTGCTCCTGCGGCCGGTACCGCCGCTGGCGACCTCCTCCCTACCTTGCCTGCCGCTGCGCCACCAAGCCGAGCCGTTACCTCCGACCTGAGCCCCGAAGTCGAGCCTCCCTCTGGCACCGGCGTTCTCCTTCTCTTCCTCCGCCTCCTCCTCTTCCTCCTCCTCCTCTTCCTCCCCCAGCGCCTCTCCAACGGCGGCACCGGTCGGCTCCGTATCCTGGGACCCCGAGAGGCCCGGGATCTCCTCGTAGAGGCGCTCCGAATCCTGATCCGTCGACACTGTCGCGCTCTGCCACAACTGGTTTATTGGCTTGAAGCCGCGTGAATCGGCCATCGTTCAAGCTGCGTCCAAAGAGAGACACGCGAAACTGGATCATCCTGCGTTCCTCCCGTTTCTCTGTTCTTTGCTACATTTTTATCGCGCTTTTTCGTTTCGCTTTCGCGTTTCGTCCACCCCGTCGGACGCTCGTCCGACTTACTACACAGCGCCGGTTACGAGGTCCCCGTGTGGCGCTGTGGTTCGGGATCGTTCGGAATCGAGGCATGGCTCTCTGCTAGGACTCGATCCTCCGGAACAGGCAAACTCGAGTCCTCGCGAGAGGCGCCTTGAGCGACGAGAGAGGATGTCGCGCGTTTTGCTTTGCGACGCGGAACCCACACGAATACGCGCGATACAACGAAAAAAATCACGTCGTATGTATCGCAAACGCGGTGGATCGTCGTCAGTGTGATTCGCGGTGTCCGCAGCTGCGATTCGTGCTGCAGCGACAGCAACGCATCGAACTCTGACGTCCGATTCAATTTCGATGGCGGAATCGACGGTCGGCATCGATGCCGCTCTTCGGGGTCGAATTTCTTTCATTGCGATGATCCGTAACGCGATCGTGTCGCGCGGACCATTAGAAAAACTCAAAAAACGTTCAATTAATGACTCATTAGTGGCCATTCAACAATTTTTAAGCGTGATACAAAATTAATTAATACTTTATAATTTTGATGAGTAAAAGTTGTATTTTTAAAAGAATAAATATTTAAAAAAACTAATATTTTGATCATTGACATAAAACAAAATTTAAAAAATTTCTGCAAATATAACCAAATGTGTCACGAATGCGAACAAAGTGGATAATCACACATTCATATTTACAGTATATTTAAATTATGCCATCTAATGAGAAGTTCTATGATATTTACTTCCCCATCCCTCATCATAGACCGTAAAGCAAGACCCCTCCTCCTCGTGATGTGACGTAATTGTTGAATCGCCTCTTATTAGTTAATAATTTTTCAAATTATATATAAACAAGCTCTTAGATATATAATCAAGGAAAGAAAGACAAGATCAATAAGAGCCGATCATGGTTATTGGTATGAGTATTTAAGCCACAGCAGGATAACAATGTTTGACAGTGTGATAATACCAATATTTTCGAATTTTTTCCCCCGGTTTTTTGGGAAGAGTTAATAAATAATAAAAAATTAATAATAAGCCAATAAAAATGATAATCATAATTTAATAATCCCTATAGGGATTATTAATATTAAGAATTAGGATACGCTGGATAGTTTGACGTGGAAGGCAAATTCATCGCGTAGTAAGTCCGAAAAAATATCTCAGATAGCGAAGTGATGTCAAATGACATTTTAATAACGTCGCTAAGATATCAATAAGACGTTATTAAAATGTCATTTGATGTCACCTTGTTATTTGGGATTCCTGCCATAGTTAAAATATTCACACTAATAACCGGCTCTTATCGGTTCTCTCATTCCCTCTCTTTCCTTAATAATTCTTCTTGTTCGCGCGAAAAAAGGAAAAACCAGGCGCGAAAGGCGCGATGGAAATAAATTACGTGTCGAAGTTAAGTCCCCGCGACGGCGGGCATGCAAAACACCGCAACTCGCGGCGAACTTTCTCGCCCGCCTCGTCACTAACAGTAAGAGACGTCGCGCGGTAAGGATAACTGAAATAATAGTGTTTGAATCTCTTCAGGTGCGATCCCGCCGGGGCGGCGGAAGTTGTTGCACCCGTGGGGATGCAGCGCCGCCGGGGCGCGCGGCGAACTAAACTCTCGTCGTCGCATTTGGACGGCCGCTTAACTGACTGTGCGGTGACGCAGAGACGGGAATTGTGAATGGTGTTGCCTTTGGGCGAATTACTGGTCAGAGCGGCGGCGGACCGCCGCCAGCTCTCGAGAAATCTGCGTCGCGGCAATTAACCCCGATTTACGTTTTTCTCCGTTCCCCCCCCGAAAGCCAGGTCGATCGCGCGCTGCGCGATGCATATCGAACGCGGTACACCGAGAAGAAAATATTTGTGACTATAATCGTCATGGTGAGAAATTATAGTCAGGGTATACCTTTCTGATTCTCAAAGTGAAACAATATTACACGTGACGCTGTTTGAAAAGAGAAATCGGAGTTTGGAATGAAAAGGGCATATTTGGCCGTGCGCCCAGGATAGGAACCCTGGATCGACACCACTCGACGATGACGGAAGTTGTTTCGAACAGCAGTTTCCGATCATCGCGAGTTAAACCGGTCGCGACGGTTATCAACGCGACCTCGCGACTCAAAAATATACAAGCGGACGGTGATAAAGCGAGAGCGACAGATCACTGCGCAACGTATGCGGGGAGTTCGCGCCGCGAACAGTGATGGAGGTCAGCAATTTGTAAAGTCTACTTTAGACGAGGCTTCATATTTAAAGAGGACAAATTACGGACCACTCCGGTCTACCTCTCGCGCTCTTAACTCGACCCTCCCTCCCTCCGCGTAATGTTCCCAACGTCGGCAATTTTTTCTTCCTTCCAACGAAAGTACGCGGGAAAACATGCCGCGGTTGTCGGCGGGCGCGCGCGCGATGAGTTTTGGGAAAATGGCGCCTTCGATTTCGCGGGGCGCGACTGTTTCTCCGCGGATGATCGATATTATATTCGAGGAGGTCCCGCTGCCTACCCCGCCCGAAACGTAATCCCATCTATCATAAATGTAGAAATACGGACTCACCTTAAAGAATTCGCAAGCCATTGTGCCCGGCGATGATATATCACGCCACGACGGTTCCGTCTCGCACCTGCTCTCGCCTCGCCACGCTTCGCCTCGACGAGGAGGGAACGCAACTCTCGGGGATCCGGTCTATCAGCTATCGACGATCGCTCCGTAACGTGGGGGACGAGGGCGGGTCGGGGTGGGGAGGGAGAGGGGAAACGGCGAAACAACACGATGCAAAAGGGTGTCGAAACGCTACGCGGATACGGAGACGTGAAACGGAGACTGCGGCGGGATTTCCACCGCCGCGGTGTGTACGACGACGACGAGGAGCACTAACGTATCACGTTTTCAGAGGCGCCCTTTCCCTCCGATCGATTGGGTTTGTATTGGACTCAGTACAAGACGACGACGAGTGTTGAAAACCTGCAACAAACGGGAGAATCGTTAGCGTTGTCGGCGACTCAAAGCGATCCTGGAATATCGCTCGTGCGCGAGCGAGCGCGTCATTAATTGGGACACGACAAGCGCGCGCGCGCGCGCGAGATCCGATATGCAACAAATAGCTCGAACTGTAGCATTCAACGACGTTATCGGTATCATTTTATTTACTTCGACTATTTCTGTTGTTCGACGATTACTTGGACACGGACGAGCGACGTGTCAGCGTCGCGTACGTGTCGTCTATTTTCGTTCTCCAGATTGATCAAGGGGGGGAGAATAGTCACTCAATAGGCAGACTTTCTCCAAATTCTAATTAGGCTGATCGACCATTAACTCAACCGGCAAAGTCACCGTCGGAAATAAAAAACGGTTTGTTGTTGATACGAGTCAGAAATTTTCGTGCTATCTCTCTCTGTTTAAAGTTGTTACCATACTAGAAGAAAACAATTTGCTGCATTCGAAAGTAAATATTTACTAAGAAATATTGAAGTAATTATTTACGGAATCCAAGTAAAATAGTTACTAAAACCTGTTATTAAAAGACTAGAGAACTAGCACGGAACTCATAATGTGATACAAAAAATTATATAAAAAATCCAATTTAGTTAAATCGTATATACACATATGTAACAAACTGACAGAATTAGTTTACTAATTTAGTACATTGATAAAGGACACTAAATTAATAAATTAATTATACCAATTCATTGTGTGTGTGATTTAACTTAATTGGATATTTTTTATGCAGTTTTTTATACAACACTATGGGTTTCGTGTTTCAGCTCTTCACCGCCCTTTACTGGCAATTTTTAGTTTATACAGGAGCTTTATGTTAATTTAATTTCATGAAAATAATTACTCCGATGTTTGTGGCAAATATTTACTTGAATGTAGCATTTTGAATGTAGCAAGAGAAAAATCTCTTTCAGTGCAGATATTAAATGCTCTGTTCTGCTAACATACTTTGGTTATTGTAAGATGGTAATATACAGTCTGAAATTGCTGTTAGAAATTCTAGCAGTTGATCGTCGGTTAGATTAATTAATCGGAATTTATCGGAGGAATTAATCGGAGAACGTCATCTTCGATGTTTGTCTATTGACATTCTCTCGCGTAATAATCGGAAACGATATCGTCTGCTCCGACGAAGCAAGAACGCTTCATCGGTTGACTAAAGAATCGTGCTCGACACACTTGGTGCACGTTTCCTTCGCGAACGTCTCGTCGCGCATCATCCGTCACGCGGATCCAGGGAACGTTCAATAATCGAGTCGCGATTGCAAACTCTGACAACCGAGCGGAGTTAAATGTCAGGGAAAACAGCGGGCGCGGAAACTTTTGAGGAATCTAAAAACTGGCAAGAATCGTGGTGACAGGAAGATTACATCCGCAGCGCACGCTCCTATCCATTGCGAAACTTTCTATCTTCCGTGAAACGTGACTGAAACTTCTCCGCGGTATTACGGGAGGAGGAGAAGGAGGAGTATAGAAGCACAACAATTATATTGCAAATCACACGCGCCTGTTAGACGGATGCGGTTAATCGTTCCGCGTATTTTCCGAAGAGGCTGGAGCTGGAAAACTTGAAGAGATCGTTTTCACGCTCCGAAAAGTCGCATGATCGCGCTTCCTTCCACGTTTTTCCCACGATAGAAATCTATATTGATTGAGATTAGAAGAGTGATGCTTCAGAGAAACGTCTAATTGGGAAACCTGAATAGATTCCGCGCGCTTTCTCCAACGTTTTCCCAAATATTGTTTCCAATTTTCATTTTATATTAATTAAACAAACATTAGGAAATATTTGGAAATACTTTCTAAGCACGAATGTTTAAAAAGCATAGATATTCAAAGTGTGTAAAATTTTGTATTTTCTTTTCATTGTATCATTACTGTTTTTTTCCCCTTTTTTTCCTTATTTCCTTTCTTTATTTTTTTAATCAATAAAATTCAATAGTCGACATACGGAAAAAAATCCTGTTGAATCAATAAAATTTCCAACAGCGCAACGCGATTGGGATAAATCTTCTTGATCCAATAGCAAATATTATTAAAACTACTATGTTTCAATAATTAAAGTATTATTTCAATGTTCAATTCAATAAGTATGTTCAATTCAATTCAATAGTTTCAATGATATCGCCATTGAATCAAGAAGACCTATTCCGATCACGCATGCTGTTGAAAATTCTATTGATTCAATAGCATTTTTTTTCCATGTGTGAAAATCCCATCTCCCATTTAATTCCATAGGAGTATATTAATTTTACTCGTTAAAGAAGCGTGTATTTTCGCAGTATTTCCGTCTCGACAGAAAACCATATTCGAGGTGAGAATAAGATTCCTAACGGGCGTCATAATGGAGTGCCCAATTTTGCGGCAAATTTGAGTATTCCGATCGGGAACTACGTTGCTTCTGAGGAAATCTTGAGAAATTTCTATTCGCTGGTTCTAACGGAGTTCAATTGCTGCTCACGCTGGGAACGCTTGAGCTCGTCATCCATCGTGGCCACAATTACGGAACAGGAATGTGATTTTCGATACGGTCTTATCACGGGCTCCGTTAGCGACAAGTCCGAGTTTCCCCGACGTGTCGGCGCTATGAATATTGCACCGGTCTGTCGCGTTACGCTTTAACGTGGCCATGAATAACCGAACGCTCGAGCAGCACGAGGATATATTCCTTAAGAATATGGAATTAGTGCCCACGACACTCTCCCTTCCGAAAGGAGATCGCGTTATTATATTCCGCTTATCTACGAAGCTGGCACGTGTCGCGTTGAATGAACTGTGCGTTGGCATGCGTCGTCGTTGCGAATGACGTTATGCGACCGGCATTAGGATCCTGACCGCAGTAAAGGCTCGTATCATTGAGTCAGCGATTGTAGTTCATTAAGCCGTACAAAGCCACAGCTGGGTGTAATTGTGCGATTTTGCGGAAAACAACGGCGGCAGGGGCGATGAGTTGCAAAAAGGTTGCGTTAATCGTGATCAATCACCGCTCACTTCCTAGAAAACCAGATACCGGCCACGTGATGTGATTGCCCCGATAACGCGGACCACGACACGGAAAAAGTAATCGCCTCCCGAAAAGATAATATGTACGAACGCTTCGTCACGTGCCCTTATCACATCGCTCGTAGAGAAGCGTATCAGTACATGCGGAGCGTTAATTTGCCGATAAGGATCTGATTTGCGTATAATTAGTCCTTGTCGATCATCATTTTAATGCCACTGTATACAGCATCGAGAAGCCGGTTTCGTGCATTCGAAATATCGGCGTCACATATATCATCATATCTATAAAACGTACTTGTTCCGGTGACATTATCAACCGACTCAAGATCACAGAGCAGACGTTTGTGTCACATAGATGGAGAGCGAGATCATAATTGTGAGAAAATTTAAAGTTGAAAAGTTAAAAAGTATCAAGTCATACCTAACCAATCGAAAATCATAGACGTTTGTACCACATAGTCTGGCGAGATTATTACTGTGAGAAAATTAAAACTAAACAATTAAAAAGCGTTAAGATATTTAACGTCACGGAGAGGTTTACTTTTTTAAAGCGAAAACTCGAACAGCCGCGAAACACAACGTGGAGGACAAATCGTAGACATTTATATTACATAATCGAGCGCGACTTTAATGACATGAGGAATTTAAAAGCGAAAAATGTTAAAAGTATTAAAAGCGAGATTAAAATTACGAGAAAATTAAGCCCGAAAAATTACAAGGTATTAAGACATCTAACGCTATAGAGAACGTCTACTTTCCCAAAATGAAAACTTGAACAGCTTCGGGACGCAAGCCGTGGAGGACCGGTTCGTCAACATCGAGACACGAGAGCTCGTGCGAGTCGAACTTCTGTTAGGATGATTTACAGGCCGCGAATTCTCACCTGTCGTACCGAACTCGCCATCTGTTTAAATTCCGAACGTAACGCGGAGCGTCAGCGATATCACCGTGCTGCCCTTTCCGAGCGGTATATGATGCACTTCACGCACACGTGAGAGCGGCGATGCAGGTGCACGGAGCCCGTCAAACGGACGCGTTCACGTTCGCGTGCGAATCCGCGTAAAGTGAAAAGCTCGTTGTCGCTGGTCGACGCGAGTCTGACTGAACTGAAATTCATCGGGTTTCTCTCTCTCATTCTCTCGTCTCTCCTCCTACCACTGCGTCGCGTGTCCGATCGCTTTGCTTTTATCTTTGTTCGACTAGTAAGCGCGACTCGTCTAGCGTCCTTCCCCTCTCTCCGCGTCCCTCCGGCATTCGCTTTGCCGTCAAGGTTTGCACGCACCGAGCCAGATTCCTCTCTCTCTCTCTCTTTTACTCCCGCTCATTTTCTGTCTCTCTTCCCGTCCCTCTCTTTCTCGGCTTTCCGCGGTATTTCGCAGTTGTACTCGACGCAAATAAATCGCATCGTCTATGTACTGGGTGTTCGCAAAACTCGCGATCAAATTTCCACGGTGTGTTGACCCCTCGCGTTTCTACATCGCGTTCGACTCGATCCGGTACGAGCACGGTTCGACGTGGCAGGAGCGGCAGGTCGATTTTACGCGAACAGACAGATCGTGTTCGTGTCGTCGGCTCTTTTTCATTTACGTCGAGTGATTTAACCTCTTCAGAGATAAATTTAAGTCAGAAGAAACTGGTTTATGATTTTTATGTGACAAATAAATATGACACCAGTCATATCACGGGATTACTCTTCTTCCTGTTGCGGAATTACGTGGCGAATATTTATTCATAGTTGTATTCATGACATGTCGACAGTGTCCGAAGAAAGAAAAAATTGGACTATCTACTTGAATCGAGATTGGGACGTTACTTTGGCGCTCTTAAAAAAAGTTTGCCCCTACTTAGACGACCTATAAACTAATAAAAACCTACTTTGACGATAGTGACATTTTTTTTAAATTTCTTGTTTGAACCACTAATTCTACAAATTAAATTTTAATGCTATCTTCGACCTGTTTTGATGCTAAAACGGCGAAAATGGAAATTTAAGATATCATCAAAGTAGAGATATAATTACATAACTAGAATTGAAATTGGAACCTATTTTGCTATCTTAACTCCTATCGTGTGGTAGAATAGAATCCACGGTTTAATATAGGGTCAAAATTTCAACTCGGGTAAACGTACAAGTGTATACGTGTATAATATATACGTGTCAGTACCCTTGAGAAGATTGATTCCCTCTGCCTGAGGCTAGATCTATCAGAAGCGAGTTATTGAAAAGCGGGAGGAAAAAGACGCGGACAATACATCCTTCGTTCAGAATCGTGCAATCGGATTTAACATACCGGAGAAAATCGTCAGTTCCTCATCCGTTTGACGGATGCTCCACTTCGGAATTCGTGAACTGCTAATTCGTCGGAGCGATCGGTGAGCGGAGGTTGCATGTGCGTGCGAATTAATTGATCACTCGGGTGCGAACAACAGGTGAATCGGATCGGAATAACGAGTTGAACGAAACGAAATCACAAGTTAAACCGCGTCAATGGTGTGACCCGACAAATCGAACTGTGCAGGAAACGAACCGACACTCCGTCAAAGACCGAATCCGAGAGGAAAAAACCGGAAAAGAAGGGCAGAGGGGACGAATGATGGGCGTTCGTCGGTTTTTTTTATACCTGCGCCTCGCCCATTTTTCCACTCAGGCGCTTCTGAAAGTTTTCCTCGACTCTTTCGTCGGTAAAAATTCGTGGGTTTAGTTTGTGCCCCAACTAGGCCGGTGCTTCTCTTATTGCGGCATTCCGGCCTCCCCTCAGTGGAATTAAGTCCGGGTGCGTCCCTGGAGCGCAGTTGTAGTCTAACTACGTTTTCGGGATCTTCATTGAAGTGTTCGGACGGAGAATCGGGTGAACACCGATCGTCGTGCTGTCGCCCGGTGACGTCGAAGTCGCGAAAATGCAAACGGAATACTCGGTATCGATTTAAAGTTTAACGCGAAATTAGAATCCGAATCGCGCGGAGGGCCGAGGGAGAGCCGAGAAGGCGAAGCGGAATGAGCGCGAATGAATTTTGAATGCGACTCTAGAGCTCGTTGAATAAAGCATTCTTCCTCCTCCGCCTTCTCGATTCCCCCGATGCGCCGTGAAAATTTGGTCGCGTGTTTTATGACCGGCCTGTATAACGTGCATCGTCGGCATACCTAATGCATGTAATGTTGATTTCTCATGTCCCCTATCTCTGGTTATCGACTTCATAGGCGATATTACCGCATAACTTAGCCTGGTTGTTACCTCGATTCTCGCGTGGATACCCGACCGCCTGCCAACGCCGTGTTCCAGCGATTACACCAATGTCCCGACACGGAATATAAAGCAGGTAAGAATTCGGCCCTCTTATCTCGTATCTCGCGCGCAACGGCAGATAAGGAACGATACGTAACGTCAATCGCGATATTTCCCTGCAGTCGAACGCACGACGGGTGTCGCACCGGTAAACAGGAAGCTCCGAAACCGCCGCTCATCGATCGCAACCTTTAAAAATTTACATTCGGATATCTTGCCGAGCATCTCGGCCGAAATGAGTCTAGAATTAAAATTAGATCGAGGTGAAGTTCGCCTCCTGCGTGAGATTAAGTAGAAAAATGGCGCGCGGCTTGCCCGGGGACAATTTGGACAATTAAACCCGCGCGAAGGAAGAGAGAAAGGAAAAAAGAGAGAGAGAGAGAGACCTTCGTGCATTTTCGATCGCACAATTTGACCTTAAGGTTCTTATTCGTTCTTATTCCGAGGAAGAATCCGCTTCACGGCGAAGGATCACGTTTGTGAAATATCGTTCGTTGCCGTTTCACTGCCGTGCGTGCTGTTTGCGCAAGAACAAAGCCTTCTAATGGCGGTTTAAAGTAAAGCCCTTTGCTCACGCTCCGTCCGATAGATATACAACTCCGATCACACCGCACACGTACGTGTACACGCACACACACCGCTGCTTATGCCGTAATGACCTTAAAGAACCTCATTCCGAGCGTACCACGTAAATGTCACGGGTGTTAATGCGTCCGCATCGGATACGGCGCGCGCGCTCCATAAAAATGAGTTACTTTTACCGTCTTCACGTGCAATCGGATGCCTCACGACGACGGCATCGACGGTTAATAACTGCTGGCCGTGAAGATGACCGACGCGAGAATGCGTCCGCGGCGTGCAACAACAATGCGCAAGGCCAACGGATAGCGTGGAAAATAGCGTACAAAAGCTCCCGTATGTTTTTATGCACACACACACACACACGCACGAGGCGTCCGCTTGAACGGGATATTTTCACGTACGTGAGCGATCTTCCGCCGTGAATAAATTATTCTTCGGAAGAAAGTCTACTTGGTACGATCGATAATTCGCCAGAGAATTCACCGCGGGATTCTAGTCGCAGGGAAACGTTTGGAGAATTAGAATTGCGCTCAAGGAAGGTTTGCCCACATCAAGGGAAGCATGAAATTATCCAGATGGATCCTCACGATTGTCATTTAAGGTTTCTTTTTCGGTGTTGTTGTTTTCATTGTAACGCGAAATTTGCTAAGAAAATTATTCTTCAATCTTTATATTACATTTTACACGACGTTGTTTTCAGTAAATTCTGATGAATTTTTTCATATTTCTGTTTCGTCACTTTGTGATAAATATGGTTGCCATACGAATCACTTGTGAGCAATGCAACCTGCACATCGACTAGCAAAGTTGCTGCCAAATTCATGTGTATATATATATATATGCGGGGTGAGGCAATAACCACTTTTCTCGCCGTGTAGTGAATTTCGGTACACAGCCGATGACGCAACGCGGGAACTTGTTTATGATTAATCCCCACGAATTGAGCTTTCTCTCTCATTGGGATATCGGCTGTGTTCCCAATTGCATCGAGAAAGAAGCGTCCAAACTGTGTATTGAAACCAAGTATACGATTAAAATTCTGCCGCGAATTCTGTCGCGCATCCTCCTGAGAGAAAGGCGCAGAAGGATTCGCCGAGCGAGGCGAATTAAGGACTGTCTACAATAGCCGTAAAGTATACAGTAAGACATAAGTACACGGAAAAAAAAATTAGTTTTAATTTAACGCTAGACGTTTTCATATATAAGCAAGAATATTATAATTACATTATTATAATTATTATTATAAACTTCTTAAAAGATTTTTAGTCTTGATCTCATTGAATTTGTATTGATGCAAGTATCGTTCAATTCCAGACTAAATATTTTCTAAGAATATTATAATATCCTTGCTTATATATGAGAATATCTATCATTGATTTGAAGACTATTTTTTTTTCGATATAGCAAACAAACTGACCAATTGGATTCTTACGGTCCAAGAATAATCGATTGCGGTTGGTCAATTAGCCTGCTTATGTCTTGTAGACGGTAGATGTCTTGCGTATTTATTGTAGACGGTCCTTTGCGCGCGATCGAGGATACGCCGAGTGGGCCTTTTTACGCGCGGCTATCTCGCGTTTACGTAACGCGAACGGATGATCTCTGTGCGAGAGACGTCGGCGCCGGGTCGGCCGGTTTCTTACGGAGATTCTCTCGCGATGCATCTCAGGCCGCGCTCAGACGCGCATGACACCGCGCGTCGAAAAGTTCGCCGCGAACTCGCAAAGTTCGCCGCGGGAAGACGCGTCTCGCGCTCTTGACGAACGTATGCGCACGACCTACTTGCTCCTCTGTTTACTCTCACTCGATCATCCCTGTACATCCCTCGAGCCGAACTTTTTATTCCCACGGCGATCCGCGCGTGATGCAAATTTCGCGTCTTCGTTCTACTTATGCGTCTCTCCTATGCTTTCCTCCCTCCCTCCCTCTCTCTTGCCCCTTAATGCACTCTTCGTTGCGGATGCTTCGCCCCGAGGAAAGATCGTCGATTCATCGTACCCCAAGTAGGAATTTGCTACTGGTCAGTACCGAGAATTATCATTATCAAGTATCTATATACAGTAATTATTGATCAAAAGTATTCTTCATAATTTTTCGAATATTTATCAGAATCTTTCTCGTATTTGAATATTTATAAAATATCTGCTACCTTCATCTTGAAAATATTTTATAAATATTACGTGCTGTCTGGGCCAGTACTGGACCAGTACCGAAACATGACGTTCGCTTTTCGATACCGGACTACGTACGGTGATGCAACTACCCCGTGCCGATTCTGGGTCAGTACTAATATTTATTTTAATATTGAGCCAGTACTGAACCAATATCGAAACATGACATCTGCTTTTCGGTGCCGATCCAGTATTGTACCAGTATCCCTGTACTGGCAGACTGTACTGGCATACGATTCCCACATGGGACGCAGTGTCTTATCATTCGCGATCGGCATTCGGCGGGCTCGTGCGTGACGGACGAACATGCCCAGCCTGGATGAAACTTCAGTTTTGACGTTTTAATTAAGAATATATCGAGGATATCAACACACCGAGAGCAGTTATTAAAGCCGCCTGAGGCCCGTTTAATAATAATCTATTACGCGCGCATGCAACACGCGGGTATAAGGCTAAACACGAGCGAGTTCTCGTCGATTAGGGGCGGAAAGTCGGGGCCGACGGATTAGCCAACCCCGAGCGTTTCGCGCGAGCTCAGGCAATTTTTGTGAAAAACGGCGCTCGCGCGCGACTACGTCGCGAGTGCACACGAGTAGTTACGCGAGCCGCGAGAAACGAGGCTGCGTGATAACTATTAATTAGTCCCACCGCCTTGACAGCGGTAATTTCGCAGTTGAGAGCGAGAGGAAGGTGGGAGAGAACGAGCGAGCGGCGATGTGCCGCCGCGGATCGCCGCCGCGTTTTCGGTGACGGTGACAATGCATTACCGACCTCCTCTAATCGGAGAAAGTACACAGTCTTCGTGCACCACGTTCTCCCCTTTCTCTTTCTCTCTCTCTCTCTCTCTCTCGCTCACCGGAGATGTATGCCCGCCGCTCTACTCCCTTATACTCGGCTGCATTAACGGCTACGTACATCAGCGCCCGCATACGCTCGGCCGCGCTCCGCAACACACAAAACACAGACACACACATATATACAGGCAGACAGACCGTGTACATACGAACGTAGCCGCGATCGCGTATGCACACCCACACACACGCTCGTTACGTGCATGATGCAGCGGGATACACGTGCGCGCATCTGCATATATATGCGCGTGCACGGCATATAACGCGGGCCATGTAATCCCGTATTGATGAACGAAAGCCCGAGTGCAACGGTATTTCAGTAACCCGTCTGGAGAACGGCCCAACCAACGTGACTAACGAGATTAACGTTGCTTGTGTCATTAGTTTATTCATCGGTCGGTCGGTCGGTCGGTCCCGCGGACGGATGTTATTTTACCCGCGTCACCGCGTCGCGCGCTGCACCTGGAAAAACGCGAGAACCGGTGACGCACAAAGCGTGAGCGCGCGCGCGACCCGGTGCATTAGTCCGGGCGAAGTTTCCCGAAGCTCTTCTCTCCGCGGAAACGACGAAACGATGACACCTAGCGCACATAAAGAGCGTAACGTCGGGTATGGGCGACTTTTTCTCTCTCTTTCTCTCTCTTCCTTTCTCGGTCCCATCGGGAGCCCGAGCTAATAATTTTTAGAAACCTCCAACGGGAGAGGATAACCAAGCAAGGGGTTTGTTATGCATTTTTTAAAGCGCGCGAGTGAATATATACTTCCGAAAGTACTTGCGGAGCAAATACGTTCTTGCTTCTCTCTCTCTCTCTCTCGCGCGCGCGCGCACGCGTGGTCGAATATTTATGAGTCACTTTGAAAAATTGACGAGCGCGCTTCCGAGCTGAATTATTCCGCGGGACTGCCTGATAGCCGGGGACCTGAGGCTTCGTTAATGTCATTAGTTTCCGCATGCAGCGCGTCTCGCCGGAGATCAGTCCCGAAATGTATTCATCCGTCGTTTCGTTCGACTTTCGAGAATTTTTCTGTTATTCTTTGTTTTTACTTCGGCAGGATGTTAATTTACGGGACTGATTGGTGGGAGGAAATTGACGAAGTTCGCGGGAAACACACGACGAGCCGCGACATTTTCTCGCCGCGGAGGCATCGACTCGAGCCGCTTCGAAGACGAGCGAGCGACGTTACCGTGCTCGCTCCTCGGCAATTCTGGGACACCTATAGATCCAGCCCGAAGGCGGAATAAGAACGCCACGATAACGAGCATTGATCTGGGACTGACGGATTGCTGAATCCAATCCGCGGGGGTTAAAAATGGATCCTCGCACCTGGAAGCACGGGCGACGGCGTCCGTCCGCGGGCGCACGACATTCCGAGATTTCTTCGTATCCCGAATCTCATTAAGCAACATCGGCGGGAGTCACGCGAGCGCAACGGGAACCGTGATTCGAGACTTCGAACGCGAATTCGAGCGAGTTCGTAGAGCCTCGACGTCGCGACGCGACGCGCCGCGCCGGGTGGAGTTCCTCCTCTCGGCGCTGCACCGTTTTACTGGAACGCATCGTATCCGGGTAACACGATCGCTAACATTCGTTCCGCGGAGAATACCGTCGCGAAACTTGCCCCCCTTCCCCTTTCTCCGGTGTACGGAGAGTGTTCCCGGACACGCACCAAATAACAGTCGGGGAGATCGATCCTCGGGCCAATTCAGAATAGACTCCTTCGGCGACGGTCCCCGCGTGGCTTAGCCTCGTGATGACGTTCTACCCGAGCAAGGTAACGACGCGGTCTTGTACGCGAGCCAATGAGAAACGTCAAGTCAAACGCGTCTCGAGCCAAGCGTCTGGTCGCGTCTTCGCAAAGTCTCCGGTCGCTCCGAAGACGAGGACAATTCCGCGAGGTTGGAGTAGAACCACGCGAGTCCCCGTCTTCAATTCGGGAGGGAAAAGACGAGAGGGAAGAAAAGTGCAAGGGGCCGTCGTGTATACGGGAGGAGGAGCAGAAGGTGCTTTGGTGCGTTCACGAGTCAAGCGCGACCCTCGACGGCTCGCTCGCTCGAACTCGCTCCGAGGACGGTTCGGAGCAGCTTTTCGCTCGCTCACCGTCGCCGAGGATCGGCGTGATCGTTTCGCCGCGGCAACACGAGGCAGGCGAATCTCGTCCCTAGGCCGATCTTGCGAGCGCCGCACGACGTTGCGGACGTCTTGTATTATCGATTGACGAAAGTTATGTGGAGGCGACTCGCCGCCGGGGCACAGCGATCGTAACGCGAGCGAGCGAGCGAGCGAGCGAGCGCGCGAGGAGACGAACGGAGAAAATTCCACCCTCGCGCTCTCGCAACCCTCCGCCTCGTCGCGTCCGCTTCCTCCTCCACCTCCTCGTCTCTCACCTCGCTCTCCTCGCCCTACATACCATTCTCTACGCTGCTGGACTTTTTTTCCGGTTCCCCGCACCCCGTCGAGTCGGGCTGCTCCGTTCTCGATCGTCGATGAGAGCGAGGCGCGAGAGCGAAGCGGCCCTTCGATATTCACCCGCGGCAAGACTCGCGATGGCTGGCGACGAACGGGCACACGGAGCGCGAGGTCGGGGGGATAATGCGTGATCTCACTCACCCTCGCGGGTTAGACCGTCGCAATGGAAGCCTCGTTGGCAGCACGGATGACGGTCGTACTCGCGTCGAAAACGGCAGTAGTGGCAGTGGCTGGACTGACGACAGCATCCACGACGGTATCGGAGGTGGCGGCGACGGCGACGGCGGCGGCGACGATGACAGTGGCTACGGTAACAGCGGCGGCGGCAGTTACGACGACGTCGAGGACGCTGTACGCGGAGGACGTGACGGTGGCAGCAGCGCTGGCAGCTACGTTGGCGGTGGCGGCGTTGGTGCTGATAGTCGTGGTCGTAGCGGCAGCAGCAACAGCGGTGGCAGCTCCTCGAGCGACGTTGGCGTTAGCGCGTACTGACGGCGAGCGGCGTAGCTGGTAGTAGTCACTTCCCTCTTCCGTACGACCCGGGCTCGACACCATCTCCTCGCTGGTCCGATCGCGCGCACACCCGACGACGCCGACGCCCGCACTGCTGGCCCGCACGACGACGACGCTATGGCACCACTGTGCTCGCGCTACCACGAGTGACATCGTCGCAGTGTCATCGTCGTCGCGCCCCTGGCGTGCGCCCCGTTTTTCGCGTGCTGCTGGCGCCCGATCACCCGTTTGCGACGACGGGGGGCGCGAAAGGAAAAAAAAAGTAACGAACGAACGTACGGACGGGCGAACGAACGAACGAACGCACGCACTCACGCCGCGCTCTGTCTCCCTCTCTCTCTCTCTCTCTGCCTCCCTTTCTCTCTCGCGCGCGCTTTCTCTCTCTCTCTCTCTCCCTCTCTCCGTCTCACAGAGACAGTACTCGCACGGGGACTCGGAGAAGACGCTGGTCGTCCCCCGATCGACTGCACGACACCGATGCCCGCTGATGCCAGGAGACGCCCCAACGCGGGGCACCCAGTTCGACGTATGGCGAGCGACGGCTCACCCCGCGATCCGCGTCTGTGCCTCGGCCCGACTCGCGCAGTGCCGTAGCGCGTGCGGGGGTGGCTACCGGATCCCGTCGGGGCGGCGGGTGGACGGGCGCACCCCTCTCGCGACCTTAGCCCTTCCGCGCGGCCCAAGCGTTGCCGCACCCGCGCGATAGTACCTTACGCTTACTCGACGAGCCCGCGAGATCGTTCCTCCGGCAGCATCCTCGCGAAGTCCCACGCTCAACCGACGATCCGGTCCCCCTCGAGCCGTCGACACTCCATCGGCGACGAGTCGCGACTGGAAGATTCTCGCGGCCCGAGCGGAACGCGCCGCTTTCCGCCGCCGACGAAACCGCCGCGCGTTCTCGCTCGACGGACGCTTTTCCGCGCTCGCGACCACCGCCGGACGAACTTTTCCCACCTCCGACGATCCACCCTAGCCGGACGCGAGAGGCGAACGCGCGTTTAGTCGCGGGCACCGCGAGCCCTTCGGGGTGACCTGGAGCCGTCGGGCATTCAGCGGCAAGGCGGGGGGCTAAGGAAGCCCTTGAAATCAATAGCCAGCCGCTACTGCCGCCGCCACCCTGATCAGGCTGCTCTGCGCTGCATCCGTCGCTCCGCCACCTCCACCGCCGCCTCCACCACCACCATCGCCACCACCACCGACGCCGCTTCCACCGTCGTTGCCGCCGCCGTCGCGCCACCCTCTACCCCGTATTCCCGATTAATCCGCACGGCGTGGCCGAGGAAGTCGTGTGTCCGACTTTAGTTCGCAGCTGAACGTCTCCCGGTACGAGCGTCATCGGCCACCCGGCCTGAGGCCATGTGTCGTGGGAAAACAAGGGGACGCGTTCTATGGAAATCGGTGGCCGCCGCTTGATCGGTCATTATGACGGCTCCTCGCGATCGGATGCGGTCAAGTCCCTCCCGAGAAACGCGTCCTCTCGCTCGACCCTTTCCCTCTCGCCGAAAGACCGGCGAATAGATCGCGAGGCAGCGGACGACATCCGCCCCCGGACGCGCGCGAGTTCGACGTCGCGAAAACCCGTAATAAACGTACAGTCTTAGCGATTTGAGCACGGTAATCGTGACAATGTAATTCGGTATAGTTTCAAAGTTTCGGGAAAAAAAACTGTTCTCTTCTCCGATTTCCCGCGGATTTCTTCGGTTTCCGCCCCGAAAGTATAAAAATTCGTTTGAGAAAGCTCACGTGTGTTCGAAGGTGAACGCCAATTAACATCGATATTACAAATTCCCATTTGACGATGTAAATGTAAATGTCGACAATATAACGCGTGTCATGTAACAGTTACATTGTCGAGGAAATTATAATATTGCTGTTATGTTAATTGATGTTCCGGTTGAAACCCGCCACATTCACTTTTTTCCTCAAAGCAGATAAGAAACCAAAAAAGGTCCGCGAACAAATTCGACAAGAAACGGGTTCTTCTTTTCCGAAACTTTAAAACTAATTCGCCACGTCGGACACCGGAACCGCGAGTCTGAATAAAGCATCGTCGTCTCTTGATTTTTTAATTACCTCGAGCGTGGCAAACGTTAAAGCCGCACGCTCGGAACCAGGTCGCCGAACGATGTCGTGGCGGCGATTTTGGTCTATCTCAATTCTTCCCTCGTCATTCGCCGCACACGATCTCCTTCCGCGCGCGGTATTCGCCGTCTTCGAAAGAAAAGGCCAGAGAAGACGGAGAGAAGATGAAAATACGCGCTGCAGCGTTACGGTATCTCCGGCGAGGATTTCGCGGCGAGCGTTGGCGAGCGGACGGCCGCGCGACACACCGGCCGAGTATGAAATTTTTAACGCGTAGCGTTAAGCGGAGCGTTTAACCGTAAGTCGAATCGATAACCGCCAAGTAATGACAATAAGTAAGTAACGAACGTCGGGAAATCGTCGACCGACGCGAGAATCGTCCCTCGAAGCGCGCGGCGCGAGGTAGTTCAAGGAGAAACCGTATCGAAAGCCCCCCTCCGTCCTCCCGCTCGCTTGCTCGCTCACCCCCGCTAACTCACTGACGCTCTAAACGGAGATTATTATTGCGATCGTGTCCTACATTTGGTGGCTTTATATTTTAACGCTCTTACCGCAACGCAAGGGTGGATGCGACCTTCCGATGCGACCGAAAATATAGACGCGTGTGGCAGGGAGAGAGAGAGAGAGAGAGAGACGCACGGGATCGCGGTCCGGTTGGTTATGAGTTGACCTACTCCACTTCGGATCTACCTACGCGCGCACTTTCCGGGGGACGCTGCCCCTTTTTCGGAAACTGTCTCGCGCGTCACGGGGGTGGCCGCGAATCTCTCGGCGAAATCCCCCGCTGCGCCACGCGCGCGAGCCACCCCCGTGCTCACCGCCTCCCACCACCTGCTCGTTCTCGATTTCACACGCGAAATTTTCGCGATCGCGGGCTCTCTCGTGGGTCGCGCTACGACGTTCCGTCGTCCATTGATATTCACAGGAAGCAATGTTTCATTGCGATAGCAATCTATTGATCTAACGCTCAGGAGTCGAACTGTTACATTCGTTCGTGTGTGTGTATGTGTATGTGTGGTCGGTGAATCGGGAAAATACATAAGTCTATTTTTACGGCAGATAGAGGTGAACTTAACGTATAACGGAGGTCAATAGAACTATTCGTAGTACGTGTTCCATCTCGTTGCAAAATGCCAGGCGCGCGCGCGCGATCCGAACTTGGCGTTGTCGGGTCAAGTGAGGGTCGCATATGCGCGCTCTCGTACACTGAAAAAAGAATTTGGCAGCGATTTTGGTTAAATAGGTTTCAACCAACTGTTTGATTACCGCGACCAAATCATTTAGTACCGTATATTGCATATAATATATATTACATCCGGCAAACACCAACTAACATTAACATAACATCAATGTATTATAACTTCCCACCCAACAATGTAAATGCAATATAACGCGTGTGTTATGTAACGGTTGAGCGAAGTATTACAACATTGATGTTATATTACCGTTGGTTGATGTTTGTGCTGGGACAGCAGAGACCAGGGCTAGTTGGCTAAAAGGGCAAGTTGGCTAATTGATTACTTCTGATTTTCTAACTGGTTACAGAATCGAACAAATAGGGATCTTAAAACCATCTTTGACATGTTTGCAATCTTTGTTTGCGCGATTCTGCAATCTGTTAAAATTAATAGCAGGAATAATCGATTAGCCAATTTACCCCTTTAGCTAACTCCGGTCTCTCCTATACGATACTAAATAATATGATTGTAGTAACCAAATAATTCAGTTGAAACTATTTAACCGAATCTTGGTAACTGTCACCAAATCTTTTTTAACCTTAATCTAAACATCTTCGATGAATAAATTCGGGACGCGTCTCTCGACGATGCTATTTTCGGAATTTGGATTCAGGCGAGTTGAGTCGCGCCTGTAGATCGACGATTCAATCCTCGAAACGCATGACTGGTTGCGGAAGTATAGTCGTGAGAGGAGGGAGGGAGGGGCGATTGTACGGACAATATATATATATATACATAACATTCGCTGTATCGAAACATCTGGAGTCTATATATGGTGATACACTGTTTAATAGAATACTTTTATTCAAACACGAGTGTTAACGAAAAGGAATACCGCTGTTAATAGAGATTAGTCGCACGTGACGTTGTAATCACGCATGAAGCGAAACCGCAAAACTCGATAATCATATGTATAATCGTATCGTAACAATCTTATATAGATCATATACAACAAATTCTTCGTACCTGCGATGAGATCTAACGTAGTGCTCGGGAAATGTCTATGAATTGTATCGCTATCGCTTCTTTGCGCGATCGTAATCGTACGTCTTATTTTTGTTTTTTCCCTACGAAGTAACGGAGAACGTCTCTGGTGCAGATAAAACGCGCGAGATGAGAGACATGCAATTTACTCTTCTTGCCTGTGTATGCATGTACGTGTGTATATGTGTATGTATGTTGTGTATCTGTTGTTACATATGTGAGTGAATATACATATATATTTCAAATTTGTATGTTACAATATTCCGTTTTACAAAGACGCGACATAGATCAGGTTCGAGTTTTAATAAAATTTATAATTAATAAGGGGGTATATATATACACGTAAAATATTTATATATGCGCAAGGAAAGAGAGATGGAATCTGAGTTTACACGATTTATCTAAGAGATCGTTCTTTCGCTGTAAGAGTCGCTGAATTCTTCCCGCTCTATTCTTTCTCTCTCTTCCTCTCTCACTTTCTTTTTTTCTTTCGCCGCACGGCCGAACGTTAGAGGAATGTTAGAACTTGTAAAAATAATACTTTATCGGGATCTCTGGAGTTCCGCATCACCGAATCAGAAACTCGTACAGCGACGACGGAAGTTCACACCGATTACAAAGTACACACAGTCGATCGAAACGTCGTCAGCTACTTTTCTCCCGCTTCTACCACTGAATCGCGTCTCACACGCGTCTACTTACAATTTAACAGTGTGGAACAGTATTCTCTGGTATATTACAGCCGCGAGACACGGGAATTCGGTTTATAGTTTCGCTATAGAAAGGTTTACCAAACTGTAGCGAGGTGTGTGTAAAAAAACTCTCGGAGCTAGAGATAAAGGAAGCCAGTAAAAGGTCATGAAATCGTATTAACGCTATTGCCTCTAGTTCTAAGGCACAGTTATGTAAATATTTCTACACCTGTGTGACATAAGTATTACGTGCTCGACGATATTCTCTCTTAACTGTGACCACCAGCCCGTCGCGACCGCGTGATCGGTAAACCCCGACCAAAGTCCGAACGTCGCTTACGGACTCCTCCGCCACCTGCTCTTCCTCGAAACGATACCATGTCCATGTGAAAGATCATACCGACGATTTAGTTCCGGACGAGACGGTTCGGCAGATATAAGGTGCGAAATTCAAAACCCTCCGCCATGTGATATCCGAGACATATCTTTATTCGTTACTTTTTGTAAGACAAACATAAAGAAATAAAAAGTACACTGAAGCGTCAGACGTAAATTCAATGCATTAACGGTTTCTCATTTAATATATCAACGCTGGCGTTTATTATGCGACCAGCACAACCGATTCTTGTTGGATCATGCGAACCACTACTCTTCGGCCAGCCACCGCCTCTAACAACCCCCTTTGCCCCCCCCCCCCCCCCGCGGATCCCCCGGCTATGTGTGATGTTACACGTTATTAACAAATTTTCACACACACACACACAGATGGACATAGTATGTATACATCGGTGTTGAGAGCGAAATGCGGCCGCGAATAACGATTCTGGATATATACTTATATATATATATATATGTGCTTGTAAATGTGTCGGTGTTATATATATATACTTTTTCACAACATACCGGCACATTCACAGGTGCACGTACAATGTGTATACTTTCTCTCGCAGCAAATGTATATGTGAACTATGTAAACTACACTTACAAATGCGTCCAAATCGTTACTCGCTACCGCGAAGTTGCGCTTCGTCTCAACCTCGCTGTGTACAACGGGAAATAATCGGGAACAACGACCGGCGCACCGGAGGAGCGCGCGCAAAACGAGCGAACGTAGGCAACAGTTAAAGCGCTCACGCTCATTACATCCGCGCGTCGGACGCCGATCCCGTTTCGCCAGTCGTACAGTATGATTACAACGTTCGAATAATATCATGCGGAGGAAGATGCCTAGATCCAGTGTGTTGTAACGCAATAGCACCCTGACTCGTACGTGTGTGATCTCTTTGCACCGGTAATTGCGCGATTTATTTAAAAAATGGCATACAGGATCGAAAGAACTTTAATTTGCGATACAATCAGCGCGATGGAACATTCTCCCGATAATGAACGTGTATCTCGAGAATAATAGACGCAAGCTACAGGAATCGAAAAAAATTGGAAAAGCGGAAACCTTCACGTGAGAAGCGCGCAAACAAAAAAGTGAATTGCGCGAACGAACGTAGAGAAAACGTAACGACCGAGCGGCCGCCTAGCACTTTCTAATCGAGTCTCTACCGGTGCCGCTGGGCATTATGTTAAACAGAAAGTAAATGAGCAACTCGCTTTTTTTCTTTTTTAAATTAAACCTCTCGCCGGATCTGTTATAAGCGCACACACCCGTAACGAGCAGCTCTATTAATGCAGACCACTACCGTTCGTGTTTATAGCATTTATTATGAACATCCGAGTAACGTAATGTCTGGAGTCTGTGTCTGCGATCGAACGATGGCATGTGACGGCAGAGGACAGGCTAAAAAAACACGGGGGCGGTGGGGATACACTGAGGTATACAATAAGATGAAGGCTGTTCAGATTAGTTTTCCCAGCAAGTAGCCGACTATAACCATGGCGATGGCGATGAGGACACTAGTTGATGTTGGAGATAACTGGCTACTGCTCTGCGAGGATAGACCTCTAGCTGCTGCAAGGTTACCGTCGTTGCCCAGTGCCGCGTTCCGCCACTTCATTAAATCTTCCTGCGGACAGAGAATGCGTGGCTGCATCAACGAATATGTCACCAAGCGATTTGTAATAATATAAAACTAATGGCTGATTTCATCGTTCCTATGTTCAAATATTCAAGCGAAATTGAAAATCGATAATTATATGAAAGATCAAATGATCATATTACATGAAAGAGATAAGACTCGTAATCGGAACTTTTTAGAAAATTTGACGAACTCAGCCATTACAGGTTAAATATGCAAAGTTAAATAATTGTTTTTATCTCCAAGGACGTACTGCTGAAATATGCTTGTGTAATATTAATAATTACTCTAAGTTGAAGATTTTCCTGCCTAAGAGTGCTTTCTTCTACCCTAAGCTGATTAACCTCTTGTGCGGCCTTTAACAATTTCTCTTCTGCTTCACCAAGTACCTGAAACGAATGCACAGTTCGTAAGCACCATGGGCATATCTTAATTCGATACAATTCATTACATTCTTACTTTCGGTGATGATTTGACTGAATCGCCAATCGCCTTGTTCTTTCCATTAGTCGTGTTAGAATCTGCCTTTGTTGTTGTAGAGGTTGCGGTTGTTTTAACCGTGGTGGTACTGGTCACGGGATTTTCAAAGACGCACTTCAGTTTGGAATCCATTAACTGATCTGGATTTATGTCTTTCCACTTAAAGAGAGATCAAATTTATTATGACGAATAATAAGGCTTGAATATATATATAATATACATGCTTAAGTATGGCTCATTATTTGATTAAGAAAATTGCTGGAGCAGTGTTTATTAACATTAATATTTAGTTTTAATAACATTCACACTTACCACATCAATTGGATATTCATCATCATCATCATCTGGCGCTATTACAGTCTGCACCATGAATTTGTGTTTACTTTTCTCCGCCGGATCGAAATCATATGGTTGTAAGCATACTGTAATCAAAACAGTATGACATTTAATTTTAATAAACATCTTTGAATTTTACTGATATAAATAACAGCCTTTGAGAGACATAAAATAAGTTTGGACAAAAATTCTCATGGAAATATAAAGACAAAACTTATATTACACGGTACATGACTGACCCGCTATTTCAGTGACATCCTTTGCCTTGAGAACTCCAGAATTTGGACGCACACAGTATCTCTTTGGGGCAGTTGTCTTTATTTTAAAATATACTTTGTGGGTCGTTGGATTGATGAGTTTTATGTAAGACGTGACAGGACCTCCTGTAAATGGGCCTGTAACAAAATAAATGATGAGATAATTCGCTAATAAATTAAAGCTGACGTGCGGTAACTTATACGCGTGCAAAATTCAAGAGTTGGAGAGAGAAAAACTTCTTACTGTGACTTATTATGTCCATTACAAAAAAGTCACAATGATTAAAAGATATACAATCGGAGAGACCATTGTGGATATAAAAAAAAATAAACATGTAAAATGTAAAAAACGTAAGTATTAACGCATCCGATCAATGACGAGACTATTTTTCTCTGAGCTAACATTGATAAAAGCGGCTATGAGTAATTGTCATCGTGTTCTAACCACACGATCAGCGAAGTGTCAATTGTCAATTCAGCAAATTATCTTCTTTTGAAACGCGATACACTGCGAATAATAAATTCAAATCTGAATTTACTGTTCGCAGATCCAATATATTTCTGCCTCGTCGAAATAAGAATTCTGACAATTGGTTATCACACAAGTAAAGCTTAACCCGCGGAATAACGAATCAAAGAGATATTGCTTAATCAATTGCAATATAGCAATAAGGTAGCAACTGCAAATTCGCGCAATCACTTCATTTAAACGATTCTTACAAAACTATATGCGTATTTATATTAAATGTATGTAAATATATGTAATTCAACGCATTCGCTCGACGTGTGCACGACAAAACCCAACATATCGGGGGGAGAGAGGGAGGGGAGAGAGAGAGAATCAATTCAGGGACAGGTCGATTGGAAATTCATGACGCGATTACGGCGTGTTTTCGGCTCGAATGTGCTTTGATCCTGATAATGAGAACACCAAGCGCACTGATACGTCCCTTGCGCGAGAAGCGCACGCACAAGTGACTATTTTTATTTCCGCGCCTCTCTTTACATGTGTGCAACAAAATGGTCACATCGTCGAAGGACAGTTTACAGACACCTGGTTCTAAACGTGATGATTGAAGTCGCTCGCGCTCGTTTCCGCGACTTGATCGCTCGCGAATAGTCGAAAGAGGAATGCGGTAAACAGACGCGACTCTATGTGCCGCCGCACGTATACACATCGAAATGGACCTTATTATCCGCACGCATTGCGATCGTACAAAATTCACACATGCAAGCGTCCACCTCCGTTACGCGGAGACGATTCCGAAGAAAAACACGTGACCTCGATGAATAATGTACGTGGGCTGAGACGAGAATGAATTAACGTCCTGCGAAATTCACAATTAATATTGCAATTAATCAGGGGAGGGGGGGAGCGTCTCGTCGGAAAATCGCTTCGGCGAGCAATGTTGCAGAAATCGCGATCTATCACCGGCTGGTGTTAGTATCCGATGACGAGGCATAAATCTAACGAGGTTCTTATAGATTAGGCTACCGTATATAGTGCGCGCGCGAGAGAGAGAGAGAGAGAGAGAAAAAGAGAGAGGGAGAGAGAGACAGAGTGAAGTGGAACAGCGGTGTGAAATTCAAGGAAATAGCGATAGATAGGTTTTCGCCGCCTTCGTCGAGGGCTACCGATCGCTCGAGGAAAACGAGAGCGTCGGGGCTGCGATCGATCGACAGCGTGTTTCCACATTTTTCGAAACGATCGCGCATCGACCGACCATTCGCCCGATCTCCCTTTCTCTCTCTGTCCCTCTTCCTTCGGCGATTACCTATTCCGTCGTGGGAGGGAAGTCGTCGCGTAAAACGCCGACGCGAGAACGAGCAGAGGGCGCGAGCTAACGGCCCTCGCGATTCTCCGCAATTTATGCTTGCATGCTCGCGTAACAAAGCGAAATTCCCTCGATATGCCACGGTGAATCCGGGGAGAATCGAAGATCGTTGCCTTCGCGCTCGCTCACTCTGTCTCGCTCGCTCTCGCACGGACTCGCCGCTCGCTCGTCTCGTCTTTATCTTCATCTCTTTTCCGTGATCACTTTCTCTCATTTTGACAGCGCATTGACGTACGGGCAGATAGGGTTAGGTATGAGTTAGCGACATTTGCACGATGCGGAGGGAACGCGCGGCCTCGGACGCGAGCTCGAAGTTCGTCGCGGCACGGTGTACAGGTTGTCACCGTGTCGCGCCGTGCCGAAAGCGGGGAACGAGCGAGCGTGCCAAGGAGCGTACATACGCCCGGGCGGCGGGCGGACGACGAATCGACCTTACGTCATCTTGACACACGCAGCGCGACGAAGCTTCGTGTGTAAGCTCGTTGAAAGCGAACGCGGGCGGTGTACGCGGCGCGTTCGCTTCCACTCTCTACACTCGCGTTGCGAACCCGACGCGGACGTTGGCGAAGACGCGACGTCGAAACGCACGACGGAAAACAGCTTCTTTCTCTGTTTCTCTCTCTCTCTCACACTCTCATACTCTTTCTCTCTCCCCCCTCACCCTCTCATCCTTTCTATCTATTATCTATCTATCTAGCTCTCGTAGTGTCTCAGCGTACCCCTGAATCGCAGCTCGCCCTGCGGCTCAATGATTAAAACTTGCTCGGGCTTCGCCATCCTGGCTGGCAGGCCAAAAGCGACGTCTCGACGAACAATTCACGGCGCTGTTCGTGTCTTCCTTCCTTCCTTCCTGCCTCCTCCGCCTCCGCCACCGCCGCCTCCTCCCGTTCTTCTTCTTCGCGTCCGCTGAAGCTCACCAACGGTCGACGCCGCGTCTGGCGGCCGTGTATTGACAAGTTCGTCCCGGTAGATCGCTCGCGACTCCCCGCTCGGCTGCGTCGGCCGTATCGTGTCGTTTCGTGCCGTATCTTCCCCGAGATTCCGTTGGACTGATTCTGATTCGCGGCCCGCGCCGAATACGCATGCGTCACGGCGGAAATTAACAGAGGCGCAGAGGCTGTGTTACGTCACGGCCGCCGCTCAGTAATGGTGCATTTACATTGCACCTCGCGGTCTGGTATGTACGACGTGACTGTGTAAAGGCGGGAGAATTTGTTTTGCGGAAACTCGACATGTCGTCGCGAGATATAATGAATGTCGGATTATCACGCATCGGACGCGGGACGTAGCATCAATCGTCCGTGATGGCTTCTTTGTCCAGAGACACTTGCACCTTCTGCACTCCGTGTTCCTCTTGATACGTTGAAACAAAAGAGTTGATGTATTTTATTATCGATTATATTTTTTCTTAAACATCGAAAGTAATTAATTCATGTGTTCAATGTCTTTATGATTGTTTAACGTTTAATGATCAATGAATGAATTTATTTTTCAAGATACATTAAAAGGATGTCTCGTACGTTTTGGAATAGTATTACTTAAAAAGTGAAGGTATGCCAGGCTTATTGTTGAGTTGCACTACGACTTAAATTTTTCATTGGGGAAAGTAGCGCCTCTAGTGGAGACATTGAAACTAAATGTCTACGTCATACATAGAAATGAACTATTTTTAGGTAAGATTCAAACCTCACTTATCATGGTCAATGGTTTCACGGAGAAACCATTAAAGGGCAATAGGCCGCTCATTGGATGTCAAGTACATATTTATAATTAATATTTCGTGAATTAAATTGAATTCAACAAAACGTTCAAACATAGGTCACATATTTTTTAAATATTTATTGTATTAAACAGTAGATCAGTGGGCACAGTTATAGATTTTGTAATTAATTTCTGCATTTTGTAATTACAATTAATATATTATTGTGAATTAATGTTTATTGTAATTATCTTTTGTCGTCTGTCTTTAATTTTTTCAAATTACGATATAGAGTCGCAAAATATTTAAGACGACAAAAAATTAATTGGCACAACTTAAATTTTTACATATATACTAAATTAATATGTATTTTTACAGGTACAACATCTTATCTATTACTACTCATATATAAATTGAGTTGGACAAAATGAAAGAAATTTCCTCTGGATAACCGAGTAAACTGATAATCTAAGCAATATCAAACTAACCATCTCGCATTCAAGAAATAACTAAACAATCTAATAAATTATATATTACTTTTAATTAATGATAACTTTCAATTTTTGTCATTAGTTGGGAATATAAAGGAATATAGGAATTTATATTTGTAGAAGTCTTTGATGTACAATTGAGGAAAAATTTTAATTTTCAATGTTATACTATAATAATCTGTTGTATTAAAAATTCTATATGTATCATAGAACTTGTAAATACAGTACTTATGAAAAGTAATAGTATATAATAATCTTAATTAATATTAATATTGTATTGTCCATTAATATCTATTGCAATATATTTTTTGTCATATTTTCTTTATTTCCCCAACTTATGACAAAAAGTTATATCCAAAGAATAAATTGACACATTTTTTATTAAAATAATGTCATTTCTCAGAAGCAAGACTCCCTCTACAATTATTCAACAGTGGATAGTGTGAAACAAGCAATAAAGGAAATCTCTACACAGCCTTACAGTTTGAACGACATACATCTTGCGTTTCAGCTAAGTCTCCAATGGTGTAAGTCAGTTCAACAAAATAATTTTCGAGTTCAATAACCCCTTGACATAAAGAGGGGAGACGTCATTCATTTTATGTGCCATTGTAGACTTTGGCGTCTCCGAAACGTCAAGAACTGTCTCCGGCAGACGCCGTGCAGTATATTATAAGATTATTCAATTGTTTCACGTGCTTCGATTCTGTTTTATTTAGAATGTTCAAGATGCTCCCTCTTCTCAACAGTACCGATAACAAAATCGCATCGGCAAATCAGTAAATTAGAAAGAAGTACATTGAAAGCAGTATTCAGTATAGCAGTGATCTTGCACGGCGAATGCCATACTATATATTTGAATTTAGTACAAATTAGAAATAATCCTTGTAACATGTCTGAGTTGAATATATTGTGTGAAAGTGACGATGAAAGTCTAATGGGCTATTTTAGTGATGATAATGAGATTGAAAACGGTCATAAAAATGTTCATACTGTTGACTATTCAAGCGATGATTCAAATTTAAGTGAAGCTAGCTCCGTTCAACAAAATGCGCGTAAACGTGCAAGACCTACATCAAGCAGTGATGATTCTGATGTAGCAGATGAATGGAATTGGAAAGAAAAAGAAAACATTGTAAATATAAAACAATTTACTGAAACTTCCAGCATCAATCCTTTAGTTTTACGAAGATTGGGAACAAGTGCAACACCTCTGTGTGTTTTAAAACAACTTTTATGTGACGATTTTTTTGAAATGATAGCCAGAGAAACAAATAGATATGCAGCTCAAATGAAAACGAAACAGAATATGAAAATGAACGAAGAGTGGTTTCCATAACAAATGATGAAATCAGAGCATATTTTTCGTTATGTATTATAATGTCACAGGTAAAACAATCTAAAATAGACATGTATTAGTCAAAACGAAAAATATTAGAAACACCCATCTTTTCACAAACTATGCCTCGTAGACGTTTTTTGTCTATAACGCACTTTTTTCATTTTGTGAATAATGAGATGATTTCTAAAGAAGACAGAATACGAAAGGTTCGATCCGTGGTCGATTACTTGAATACCAGATTCCAACAATTATACATTCCGGAAGAAAATGTCATACACGAATCCCTAATGAAATTCAGAGGGCGGCTGAGTTACGCACAATTTATAGCATCAAAACGACCGAGATTTGTAATTAAATTTTACAAATTATGTGAATCCAATTTTGGGTACTGTTATCGATTCAAAATTTACACAGGACAAGATAAAATTGAAGGAAGTGATATACCTGTATCGCAAAGTGTAGTCATGGAACTAGCCAAACCCATTTTAGGGAAAGGATATACCTTATTTTTAAATAATTGGTATTCATCACCAAAATTATTTCAAATTTTGAATGAAAATAATACAAATGTTGTTGGAACGGTCAGAAAAAATCGAGAAAATATGCCAAATAAGCTGGCATCGTACAAACTAAAAAAAGGAGAAGTAAGAACATTATCTTGTAGAGATATTCTGTCCTTACGTTGGCTTGATAAGAAAGATGTATATATAATAAGCACTAAACATTCAAGAGCAGAAATGGTTGACACAGGAAAAATAAGAAGAAAGCAGGGAGGCGAGAAAGAAAATGTTTTAAAACCCAGCTGTGTAGTGGAGTACAACCGTGGAATGGGAGGTGTCGACAGGCAAGACCAATCTCTTGCATGTTTCTCACTTATGGAAAAGTGTGTCAAAGGATATAAAAAAATGTTCTTTTATATGCTTGATATTGCTATCTATAATGCTTATGTCCTATATTCTAAGTTACCTGGTTCACCAAAGTGATCGATTGTAAATTTTCAATTGAATATTGCAGAAGATATGTTACATAATTTGTCTCTTCCTAAATATTCGACACGTGACGGACAGTCACGCACATTTTCCTCAAAATATATTTTCAACTAATAAACTTGGACGTTCTACAAAGTGATGCCATGTGTGCGAAACAAAACGTATAAGAAGCGAAACAACTTGGCAGTGTAAAAAATGTCTAGTTGCTCTACATCTTCCAGAATATTTTGAAATTTTTCATACTTTAAGAGATTTCTAAATTATTATTTTATAATGTTACTTAATTATTGTCCATTAACATTATATATCAACCTGATTAAATGTTATATAGCGATGCAAATTTCAAAATAAAAAGTTCTGTTTCTAAGCTTGCACATAACTGTTTATTGAGCAAAATTAAATAATATTTTTCGGACGTATCAAATTCCGTTTTATTTATCTATGTCAAGGGGTTAAAGAACTTTAATTATTTTTCAGTTAGAAATATGAAAAGATATGAACAATGTATAGAGACTTCTTTAATTAATAACCCAAAAATTTGCTTGTTATTTGCAAAATAGTAAAAACTTTCTTATTCAGAGTGGCCTAATCTATAAGTAAGATAACTGTTGTATTTAGTGACAAGTTCAAAGTTTGAGATTCAAGATTTAATATACTGATATCTGTGTTGCTACATATAAATAAGTAAATAAACATATATATAAAATATTAAATTTAATCCAAATAATAAAAATTGTTGGAATCTGAACTATGTTATTTTTTATTATTTATTTCCTCTCGTTGCATTCCTGATGGAAAACCAAAACCGAGGAAATTCAAACCGAATTAAGTTTTATAAAAGAACCAGTATGCTGTTAGCCCATTGGACACCAAGTGCATTTTAATCACGAATTTTCAAAGACCAAAATAAATTCCATGAAATCCTCGGATTGGTGAAATATTTTTTAATTTAGATTTATCGTACGAAAACGTGTGGTGATCGATAACCATTTTTGATAATTCGGGTCGGGAAATCGCAGAAAGTATGGTGCCGTTTTTAAATTCAACGTCGCTTTAACTGCACATGTCAAAATGGCTACATTTTTTCAATACATAATGTGCAAAATAAAAAGAAAAAAATAATTATCCTTACGCACAAAATACTTGACACAATTCTAATATACAAAATATTGGAATAAACTGGTTGTGATTTAGATATTGCATCTTAATACATTGGCACTATTTAAGTAGTCGTTGTTTTGGGCAGGAGGTACTGACGTCATATAATCATGCGCGACAGTTACGTTTCGTTCGCGACCACTTCGGCGTCGTGTTGCGAACGCTCCGCGTTTGTCATTTATTTTTTCACCAACGAAAGTGGATTTCGTCTGTGAAAGAATGTCGGAAATGTCGAGTGAATGACAGACGAACGTTCTGTCTAAAAATCGGACCTTCCAAGCTCGGCAGCAACGATATTTCGTAATGTGCAGAATCAACGTTCGTGTGGGACATTGAGTATTATACGAAGATACTGTACGAATAGCGTGCCTGTATTTCCGAGAAAAATGTGATGAATATACTTTTCCTCTCTTGT